GGGAGGGTGGAAGTGGTAGAGAGGGCTGTGCAAGCAGAAAAGCGAGCGTAAGCGAGCATTTGATGCTTGTATTTATTAAGATATTAACATTTAAAGTTGATTGTAATTGATTTACAAAGGTGAGTGTTAAGTGAAAACAAGTATTAGATGATTGATCACATTAGTGCAAAGATATGTTGGGGGTCCCGGGTTGATCGGCCCTTCTACCAGCAGTGCGTGGTTGGTGACTGAGCTCTTTTGCCCCAGTAGCCTACATAGGCGTTCGCCAAGCGATCGGCGAACACCTCGCTTAGGCGGAAGCGGTCGGCCCGTAGAGGGAATCCGACAATATGTATAAAATATGAAATTGAATACATATTAACAATAGCTAAGTTATTTTTAGCTGACTAAATTTACTGAGTTATTTAATGATTATATTACAGATACATTATAACTCAAAGTGCTGATCAGTGATAACATTATTATATAGCTTCATAAAATTTCCATGCCTTGGTATTTCTTGTTAAAAAAGAAGAAAAAAAAAAGGAAAGAAAAAATTTCAATTTACTCACTCACAGCGAGATCTGAGCATTCTTGACAACACCAAGTCCTCAAGGTTCGTCGTGCTGCCTGGTGCAAGACATCCAATCTCTTCTTCGTCTCTCACAAGATCTTCTATATATTCTGCCATTCCCGATGCATGAAAAATTTTCGTAAGAGTAGAGCGCATCTGGAGAAGTGCGGGGCTGGGGAGCTCGATGGTGGCACCACCATGCCGTTCCAAGGTAACGAGTCGAGGGCCATCTGGGCCGCCCTGTGATGCCGGGAGGTGCACTTGTATTACGTTACGCCGCCTGCTTAGCAGGAGTATCTGGTACTGATTTGGCTCTCCCTAATGGACAAAACAGTTAGTAGAGTCAAGCAGTGGGAAAGTATACGAGGGTTGCTCAACCGTCGGCTCGAACGACAGCGTAAAGGAACCAAAGGCTGCGTGGACGGGGGACCACAGCGTCATTAAATTCCTTGGGTCATTTATGTCCTCCGGTGCAAGCTGGATCTGTGGGAACAATTTTTTCAATGTGGCCCAAATCTGTGCAATTTTGTGGTCCTAAAATGGTAGTATTTAGTAGACGTTTTGAAAATATATCGTCCAGGCTGACAGACTTTTGACTTCTCCCACCTCCCCAAGGAGAATGGGACAACATAACAGAGATCTGTAGGCGACCCGTATTCTGTATCGGCCTCAGATATCTTGGCATCAATATCAATGATCCCGGTGGCCATACAACGGTGGCCGTCCCGTTCAAGGCACAGCTTCTTGAGGTGACGCTGGTCTTTTCGGCTTCCTGGCTCATTCATTGTGGCGGCCACTTCCTCTACCCCTTCCTCCATTTTGAAGGGCGTAGGCGTTATAGGTGGAGTGGCGCCTCGAGCCCGCACTGAGTAGCAATAAGTCAGAAAGCATGATAGAAAGTTTTGAAGAATGTAAGCAGAGTTAGGGATGATAGCAGGCTGTACTAGGGATTACAATTGCTGTGTTGATGTGCTGGCTAAGTGCATGGAGTGTTTCGTGATCATTCCCTGTAGTCACAATGAACTCTGCAATAGGCGTTCTTCCCTCTTCAGGTAAGACATTTGTTATCTCTGGCTTGGTAACTCTCAGCCGTTCCATTCGTTTTTTGATAGTGACATGGGATGATGGGAACAACTAGCCTGGTCGCTACTTACCCGAACAGGTTTAGCCTCCAATCCAATTCACGTGCAATTCTGGAGTTTGGGCAGCAGAAAAGATAAAAAAAAAAAAATCCGTCAGGATCACACACAACACGACACATTTACAACTGCCATCCACCTCCCTGCCTGAGCGCACTGCTGTTAGCTGCTGCTCACAGCGCCCTGAAACCTTCTTATCGATAAACTCGCGATACGCACGAAAACCTCTTGCTAACACCAGCGGTTGTTATCAGGCCATGGCGCCTTCAAAGTGGGGTATGTCTAGATAACTTCAGGAGAGATGACGGAGCGCTGTTGATCATATATGGCAGGGCACCCTGCTATGTATTACATATATATTTACATGTTTTTATTTTTTGCAAAGTGGAGACTAGGGGAATATCCTATGCCAATGCCATGTAGCTTAGTTAGGCTAGATATTACATGTCTATGCAGGTTGACGGGGCTAACTTCGGAACGTTGTGTTTTTTGACTTAAATATAGATGATGAGGAGGAGAGTACTCCCCCCTCCTCTCCCCCGCTTATTGCAGCTACGACACACAGACGAAAGTTCGATGACGAGGAGGACAGCGATGATGTATGCCTTTTCCTCAGATAGAGCCCCGCCGCGCCAACCATGACCTTTGTCTAACAAACCCTTTTTTTGGGAAATATCTAGGTAGTCGATGACTGGGAAGCAGCTGAAGACTCTGAAGTCGAGCGTGAAAAGGCCGCCAAAGCCGCTGCAGAGAAAGCAAAAGCCGAAGCCGAAGCGGCTGCCAAGAAGAAATCAAAAGCCCAACGGATACAAGAGCGCAAGGAACAGAGACGGCGCGAACAACGATCCAGCGACGACGACGATGAAGACGACGACGACGAAGACGACGACGCCGCCGCACGCGCCCGCCTCCGTCGCACAGAGAAGGATGCAGACCTCGCCCACGCCGAAGACCTCATCGGCGATATCGACCTGAAGCGCACCCGCTCCGCAATCCCCAGAGCCGCAGTCGTCATCGGCGACAAATCGGACCCGACCAAATCCATAGACCTCTCCGCCATGCCCCTATTCAAGCCGGGAACCAAGACGCAGTTCGCAGAACTGACCGAGGTGCTTATCCCGCTTTTAACGGCGCAGTCGAAGAAGCCGCAATATCCAATATGGGCGCAGGATTTTGCGAAGAAGCTCGTGAAGGAGCTATCGAGTGGGGACATTAAGAAGATTGCGAGTGCGTTGACGGCGGTGAGCAATGAGAAGCTGAAGGAGGAGAAGGCGGCCGAGAAAGGGGGAAAGAAGAGTAAGGCAGCGAAGACGAAGACGAGCGTGGTTGTTGGGCGGGATGTTGGAGGCGCGCGCGGGGCGGATCTTACGGCGTATGATGGGGATGATTTGGATGATGATGATTTTATGTGATTTTTGAGTTTTCTTATTTTTTGTCTGTATTTCTGAGATGTGGAAATGATGAATTGGTGGATGGCTTTCAAACTACATTTACCCTGAGTTGTTAGTTATTACCCCTTCTCATCCCCTTTTCCCCTTTTCCCCCTCCGTGCCATATACATTTTTCACACCCCCTTATCATCCATATCTTTTGCATGTTTCCTTTTTTCTTTTTAATTTTAGAAGTGTCAACAAAACCCCCCGCAATTGTCGCTTGAAAGCCTCAGGGCCTTTTATTATTTTATACCTCAGCTCTATTACCAGAAATGTTTTCCTAGCCTTGCTATACAGCAATATCAGCGGTGTTAATCGCATTTTCACGGTGCCCCCTGTCTTTTCGGCTTATCTCTAATACCTTCTATCCTATTCCCATGAACAGTGTCGTGTTGAGTCTGATCACAGCAGAGGAAGCGATTTTCTTCCGTCTTAACTTTGCTATTTCATCAAGCTATGACATACCTAGAGAATTAGAATGCAGACAACTCTCTCATTGTGGTGCTGTGTGTTTTAAAGGGGAATTGAGACTTGCGAGATAGTCTGTCTCTGTCGGATGAAAGGTTTCATCATGGCGCCCCAGGGGAGAGTCGGGGGGGGCTCTTTTGCTCTTTGGCCCTTTCACCAATCTTTCAATTTTTGATATTTATTTTTACGTGGAGCGAGAAAAGAGGTTCCAGCAAAAACGCTTTAACCACTCCGCCGCTACGATTTTCCCAGCGGTCTTTCCGAATCTCAAACTTGAAACTATCCAATAGAACTGGAAGTACGGTTATGGACATCCTACGCCTCATCAATGGCTCTATGCAAACCAGGTGTCTGCGGAATCTGCGCCATGTCGGCACGTTTCTCCAGACTCGTACCTCAGAGCATGCCATATTGCAATTTCTCGGAAGCTGCCATCAACTCTAGTCCATGGAGACGATGAGTGTTGAGGATTTAACTGTCTGGCGACCCTGTGTTGCCGACTACTCGCAGCCACCAGATGACCCTCGTCAATGCCTATAGCTACTGATTCAAACGTTTCAAAGATCCACCTCACCCGTTGCAACATTCCATTGGAGCTCCTCGTGCCGATTCTTACGCCGCCAAAAGCTCTAAGAGAGCTTAGGTATAGCGCTGGGGCTTTGGTCTGCTCCAGTAACTCCTCGGACTGTATAGATCCCGCAATAATGGGTTGCCATCTGCAAGTACACAGGTGCACATTGCGTATTCTGGATATCGGCCTGGCTCAATGTGTCCGATGTTCTACCAACAGTGGCTTGACAGTTGATGATACCACTCCAGCGTCGTCAGGGCCTGCATCTGCCAACCCAATGGCTAGTCGTGAACCTGCTATGGAAGGGGTAGAAACTAGGCGCCCTTTTAGAGTTGCCAGTTCTATCAGATCATTGAATAGATTCATAGCTCTGACCAATCTCAGCATCGGGGTTAACTCCTTGCTGGGGCCCGATTCAAACGAAGTGATGTTTGCAGATTATTGGGAAGAAAACTACTCTGAGGCTGAGGAGTAGCGGGAGGGGCAGCCGTGGAAACATAATGATTCACTTAAACCTGCATCGCCCTCACCATCGCCCCCGTCGCCGTCAGCATCCCCAGTATCGGCCGCCTCACCGGCTCGTCGTCGGTTGGTTGACAGGCTGTTCACCCAACCTAAAATATTTATGTATTCGCGGATACGATCACGGGAAAGTTGGTGGGAGATGGATAAGTGCAATTTCTGAGTTAATGGATAGGAAAGCTGAATGTTTTCCAAGGTGGCCGGTGTTACGGAATATAAATATACCTAGTCCTGCCCTGTTGAGCGTCTTTTTTTTTTTTTTTTTTTTTTTTTTTTTTTTTTGATTAAATATTGCAATGCTAAGACCACTTTCTAGGGACCGCCGGTTGGTTTAGTTGAAGATGGATTCAGGGTCTTTTCGGGTCAACTATCTTATGGATCAACCCTCCGCAAAGGAACACATTCATGATTCGCCATTGTATAAGATTGGCCGTCGGATAGATTTTACCGCTGGAAAATCTCAGGCATTGCGGAATCTACACCTTGAATCCGACGAGAAGGGGAATAAGACAGCTTTTGTATTCGATGGCGGGACGAACTTAATCGGCCTTTTGTTTGCAGGGCATTCGGAAACGGGGGTGGGATATTTCACCTCTGCAGCGACCCTGTTTGAGGATACCGATGTACGTCTGCCTTTATCATAACGACGGGGCATTTTTTACATTTCGGATGAAACTCAGAGCGTAGATTTCTTTTCTTGCATTTTTGATTTCCTTTTTCCTTGACTCTTTTTTTCAAGGCGATATCTTTCTTTGACATTTTTGAGTTAAATGCATCAAAACTATTTATCTGAATGATTAAAGAGTAGAACAGATTTGTATGACTGTACTATGAATGCGAATAATGCTGAGTTTATCATGACTATAATTCCATATTGAACATTCTGAACTGCTCTTTTATATCACTGGCATCTATGACAAGCCACAAACCTACCTGCACAAGGATGGAGATATCACCCTCAGTGTTATGTTCCCCCCAAGCAGGCTGATGCTAGGGTCCCCAAGTCGACTACTAGGCCGCTGAACAGTATAATAAATAATACTAGGTATTTATGCTTCAGCCTGCTCTCATCGCACGCCGGGTTTCACACCAGATTATTAGAGATATATGCATATGTTGCGTTATTATTGTGCCATAAAATTTTCAATTTTTCATGAAATTCAGAAACCAATCTACCCATGAAGCCAAAGCAATAAATTCTTTAGGATAAACGGGTATTATTTTTCCACGATATAAACCACTGTGCCTGGTTGGATCATTTCATATGAAATATGTTCATATCCTTTTATTTTTAAGGTTAAGTATAACTTTTGCTTTTGAGAAAATAAATTTAATTTCTCCGCTTGACCACACATACCTGCCATTACTATTCTCGTTTTTCATATACGTCATACAGGCTGGTGTTGGACGTTGTTGGTTCATCCATATTATTTTAATCTCAGAGATACCTTGTTGGGAGATTTTTAGATTTTTAGTAAATTGTGGGTTAGTGCAAAAGTGCATATGTAGGAGGAGATTTTAGATACATGCATGGAATCTGCTGGAATGAAAGGATTGGACAGGAAGCAATGTTTTGAAGTCTGTCTGATGCAGGGCACATAACATGTCAGGCAGATAGGCAGGGTATGTAGTTATTTATGTAACTAGGGCAAGGGCTGCATTCATGAGAGAAGATCAATGTAATTCAGGGTTGTTTGTTGTGTTAGAAGAAGCATAGGAAACAGAGAATGGATGTGCCCAGTGTCTGATGAGGATAGTTAGATATTCTATCCTCATAACCTGGAGATTTCCAGTTGTCTGAAAAAGACAGCTGCAGTGAGGCTGAGGCTGCATGAGATCTGTAAGATCAGGAGAAATGCATGATAGATACTCTGTAGATACTCTATAGATATTTAGATGATGAGCATGGCAAACAATGCATAAGTTAAGGGCAGTACATAACATCCATATCATAAATCTCAATCCATCCAGCTCGTTGTTACAATAATAACTATAATAATAAATACCCCTCCTGTATGAACAAGACCATCACCAGTGTGGCAGTGTTTTAGTGAGAGGAGTTGTTGTGACTTTTTAAGACTGTAAAAGCATGAAGAGGTTGAATCTGTAACTAACTAACGGCTTAGTCAGCGGCGTGCCCATCATCACAACCTCATTCTCTCGTCGTCTGCCTTCAACAACGTCAAACTTCTTCCTCGTCCGTCGTCTGCTTTGCCCGTCCTCCTCCTCATCTTCTGTCTCGCTGTCTGTCCCGCTGCTTTCTCACGTCTCTCCCGATTGCTCCGCCTTTCCACTCCCATACTCTTCTATCCTCCACTAAATCTCCCCATCGTCTTTCCCGCCGTTCTCCCACCATGACCTCAGAAGTAGGTTTACCCCTCCTATTAGGCGCGCATCCCATGGCCTCGCAAAACATGCTGCCTCCTCCTCCTCCTCCTCCTCCTCCTCCTCTCCTCCTCTCCTCCTCTCCTCCTCTCCCCTATACCTTTCCTCTGTCCCTGTGTTTCTGAATCGTTATGCTAACTCCATTGTGTCAAACAGCGTGATAAGTAATTTGCCCACCCTGCTTCTTGTGCGCTTTGTGAAATGTGTTGAAAAGGGGGGGGGGGGCCGCGGGAAAGAGGACCTCATACTGATACACTTCTTTATAGCAAAACGTTTCTTGCCAGGCTCTGTGAGCAGGCTGAGCGTTATGATGGTTAGTCCCTGGCTCCTCTTCCCTTCAAAATAATGTTCTGGGTCTTTTTTTTTTTTTTTTTTTTTCTTTCTAACCGCATCGTGTAGAAATGGTCACATATATGAAGGTTTGTCCGTGCTCTATCTATCTTCTTGTGCTTTGAGGCTGTAGCACGCCATTCGCTGACAGGCATCGCATCGCACCTTTTATAGGAAGTTGCCAATGTAAGTACATCTCTGCAAATATACCCCATACTTCTTCACTTACCCTTCTTCTATACTGACCAATTCAATCCAACTAGCTGGGTGGTGAACTTACCGTTGACGAACGCAACCTTCTTTCCGTTGCCTACAAAAACGTTGTTGGAACTCGCCGTGCTTCCTGGCGCATAATCTCCTCCATCGAGCAGAAAGAGGACTCGAAGGGTTCTGAGAAACATGTTGCTATCATTGGCGAGTACCGCCAAAAGATCGAGGCCGAACTCGAGCGCGTTTGTCAGGATGTTCTTGACGTTCTGGATCAATCTTTGATTCCCAAAGCCGAATCTGGTGAATCCAAGGTGTTCTACCACAAGATGTACGCGTTTGGGCTCTCAGATACTGGAGTTGTGTTGATCTACATTTCGTGCCTGGCGAATCATGTTCTTTTTTTGGGGAACCATATACTAACACAATACCACGTACGCAATCTGCAGGAAGGGCGACTACCACCGTTATCTCGCTGAGTTTGCTTCCGGTAACAAGCGCAAGGTTGCTGCGACTGCCGCCCACGAGGCATACAAGGTACATACCCTCCTGCTACACCAGTTTTTATTTTGAACTGTGCCTAGCAAACATGATTAACCATCACCACACAGAACGCCACCGATGTTGCCCAAACCGAGCTGACGCCCACCCACCCCATCCGTCTGGGTCTCGCCCTCAACTTCTCCGTTTTCTACTATGAGATCCTCAACTCCCCAGACCGTGCCTGCCATCTGGCCAAACAGGCATTCGATGATGCCATTGCTGAACTCGACTCCCTGTCTGAAGAGTCATACCGCGATAGCACTCTGATTATGCAGTTGCTCCGTGACAACTTGACTCTGTGGACCTCATCTGACGGCGCTGAGCCCGAACCTGCGCAATCTGGTGAGCCCAAGGAGGATAAGCCTGCTGAGGGTGCGGAGGGTGCTGAGGGCGCCGAGGCTGACACGGCTGCTGCTGATGTGCCTGCTGCGGAAGAACCGAAGAAGGAGGAGGCTGCTGCTGGTGCTTCTTGAGGTTGACAAGGCAATCCCCTTCCCCTCCCTTCTCCTTACAATTTCTTGGTTTGCGCCAAAATAAAACCATGCTGTGGGTTGGGGCGGTGGCCATTCCTGGTGGACACAAAAATTAAAAAGAAAAACCAAACTATACAGATATGTCCAAAAAAAAAAAAAAAAAAAGAAAAAAAAAAAAGAAAAAGAAAGAAAAAGGTAAAAAAAAAGGTAAAAAAAGATAAAAAATCCACACAGACGATGAAAGCAAAGGAGATTACTTTTCTTTTCTTTCCTTTTTATTTTGTTTCCAAATGAAAGGGATCGAATCGATATATGGCGTGGGCATGGGCGTGGGTTGGGGGTGTGGTGTTTCACAGACAAAGCTCCAAACCCTTCTCCTCTCAAGTGACAAGATGGACGTCCTTCTAATTATTCTCAAGGGGGTTGTTTTTATCCATTTTAGTTTTCGATCAGGCGGCGTTTGCTACAATTGAACTGGAGAGTTGCGAAAGCAAGAAAGGAGGGCAAGAAAGAACGCGCGGAAACCTGGGAAATATTTTGTCTTTTTTCCTTTTTCTTAAAAATTATTTTCCAATCAAGCAATCAACATATTATTCCCCTGTCCTTCTCATTATCATTTTACGTGCTGCTCGTTTTAAGGAATCTCCTATCAGTGCTCTGATCTTGGGTGGGAATGGGGCTATGAGGGGAAGATGATGAGAAATGAAAGATACAAAGACCTCTCAGCACGGCTAGTCTCCTTTCTGCCTTCTGTTGTTTTTCCCACTCTCTTTCCTCTTTTTCGATAACACAGCCTCCCCTCCCTCCCCTCTCTTTTTCTCGTCTCGTCTCGTCTCGTCTCGTCTCGTCTGCCTGTCAAAGAATTCTGTTTCCTCTCCTCTGTTGCAGCCTACTCGTTTCCTCGCCTTGATCATTGCCTTGCCTTTCGCTTGCCGGTAACTCAATACAATCAATCCCCCCCCTGTTTTGATTTCGTACTTAAACACACACACACACACATATATATATATATATATATATTTATATACACAACACAAAATCCCGCCCCTTCTTACGAGCCTGTTTCCCCATAATATTTCCATTTTTCCTCTTCGTTCTGCTTGTGTGTATAGTTGTAGCTCAGCTCGCTCGTATTATCTTATTTTATTTTACTTTATTCCATTTCTTCTCGTTGCTTTTTTTCGTTTTCTTTTTTTCCCTTTCTTTGTCTTCTCTAATCTCGTTCTCTCTGTTGGCCAATGATTGAGATTGGCTGGTTGATTGATTGATTGATTGATTGATTGTGTTTCCCGTCTTTCGCTCCCTCCTTAAAATAAAAAAAAAGCCTAGATGCAGGCACGACAGACGGTATTGTTATTTGGCTCTCAATGGCCTTCTCTCCCTCCAAGCAGCTTTTCGCCCTTGATTTGAAAAGGGGTGATATGTGCCGTTTTGCTCATTTCGTTCCAGGGGTATCCATATATGGTAAATAGAACATGGAAAGGAATACCAGTAGCTATTAGAGAAAGGGGAATGATATGCGTATTAAATACGGTATGATAACTATCCCCTTGTCGTGTATAATTAGTGTAATTAAGCTATTAGTGCTGAAATACGGAGTACAGTATCAATGAATATTTTCTCATACTAAATTCTGTGCAATTTGATTCATTGATATATATTCACAATCTCATGTTTTTTGCATCAATGTATTCTATAATATTTTTATATTTTCTGTGAATATAATTATTTCTCTTTCTTTTCTTTGTCTGACTCTGACTCTGATTTCTCTAGAGAGAAATATAACTTCTGTAAATAATTTTCAATTCTGTAATATTTTTTTATTTAGATTGATTAATTCTTTTCTCAAAGTGTATAAAAATAAATATAAAATAAAATAATATATCTTCCTAATTCAAGAAAAACAGTCAGTAGTTTTCATCAAAGACTGTTCAAGTTAAAAATACAATGTGAAAATTTTTGCTATTAATCATTACAATTGAGAGCAGTGTTGTCAACTTGTCATCTGCAGAATTCTCAGAGCAGCTGAAGAAGAAAGAATAAGTTAATGAGTTCAAAAGAAAGCAGGTAACAGAAATGAAGAGTCAGGTCCACACTTATATCTAGCAGTCTATTTTGGCTTGGTCTTCGGTTCTTGTTCTATGATGTTTTTCTCAATTGAGCCTATCTTGGCACCCCCTTCTTTGGAGGGTGCAGCCACAACCACCTCATCTTCTGCTGCATGACATAAAAAACTTGTTTGTACCCTTGAGTATCAACGTCAGAATCTCCTTCATCTGAAAGGATTGGTGGAAGGATCGAGAAGAAAACATCTCAAGAGATTACATACCGCTTCTCAGCATTCCCCTTGCCTCTTTCTTTCTGCCATCGCTGCCTCCAGGCCAGCAGTAACCTCGAGATATACAGCTCTGGGTACCGGCTCACATACATGACCCCCAACAGGCCAGACAGGCACGGGCCAGACTGGATGGTGAAGACTGATGTCCGCGCCTGCATCGAGGAGTAATTGGACGATCTCGGAATTCTGCCAATACTCCATGGCCAACTGTATGACCCTTCCGCAGGTAAAGCTAGCCGCTACCTTGAGACCGGAGCCGTCATGATCGCGACGGAGCCCACGGACGCCATGGTAGGGAGCATGGGGATTAGCTCCGTGCGCAAGCAGTGCCTTCACCAGATCTGCATTGCCGGATGTAACTGCTAGGAGGAGCGGAGGTGCGAAACGTTCTGCTTGTAGAGGGGTTGGCTGATCAGGAGTGGTGTCGCGATCGGAAAAAAATCGACGGTCGGGAAGCGGCCGGTCAGACTCCTCAAAGTCGCACTGAACACCGTTGGCAAGCAGCGTGTTGACGATGGCGCTGTGCTGCTGCTTCACTGCTAAAAGAAGTGCCCTTGTTCCAGAGACGCGGTTGGTTTTCTGCACAAGCGCTTCAACTAGTTTCAGGCTGCCTCGTCGCACTGCTTTCACTAGGGCAGGCCCCTCTGCCGATTCGATGGTATAGTTCGCATCGGCGCCGTGAGCCAGGGACAGATTGACAAGATCGAGCCTGTCGTGCTCTACCGCCCACTCCAGTGGTGTCAGCTGGATTTCATGGAAATATTCAACCGAGTTGAGAATGCCTTCTTTGGGTCTGTAGGGTTGGTTGTAGCAAAGAATCGGGAAGTCCAAGCTCAAGTCATTCCCATGTCTGAGGATCTGTGAGAACACACGCACCCCGTATCCGGCTACCAATGCAGCCGCAAGAGCCGCCTTTCTCTCACTCAAGGGAGGTGGCCTGCACGCTGGATTGGATGCCGCGGGTGGGACAGCTGGAGGCTCCTGTGGTATACCCCACAGGTACGTTCGGGAGTATTTGTCTGAGAGACGGCCCGGGGACGTTTCATCAGTGAAGCGATTTCGAAAGTTGAATCGATACGACGTCGGATCCCACAACAACTCCCATCCATCGTCGTAGTCCTCCCTAGTGGGAGATGAAGGCCTGTCCGGGTTGTCCTCTGTACTTCCGTCCCTCACCCAGCCGGTTTGATTCCATTCGCATCGTGGCCAACTCGCGCCCACTACTCTCTGGTACACTTTTCCATTTTCTATCTTTTCTTCCACTTTTCGCCCCCTGTCTGAGTCGTACTCCTTCGCCCCAGGCCAGAAGTCTGTTGCCGCGTCATGGGGCTTGAAAGGAGTTGTATATTTCCGCTGGAGGAGATCGTGCCAATTGGTGCCTTTGAAGAACGGGTGGTCTTTTATTTCAGAGGTCCCATTCTTTGCCCCCAAGCGGTTCAGTGGATTTTTTTCGAGCAGCTTGATCAAAATGTCCTTGGCTATCGGTGGGAGTCCCTCAGGACGTACCGGGTCTCTACTTATCTTGAGTCGTCGCTTATTGGCATCCTGACCGTAGAATGGAGGTAATCCGGTCAACATTTCGTAGAGAAAGATGCCCAAAGCCCACCAATCCGCCGTCTGGGAAGCGACTTGGTTGTTGCTGACAAGCTCAGGGGCTGGGTACGCTGATGTTCCTGGCACAACTGTATCACCGTCCTGGACCTCCAGACTGAAAAGACTAGGATTGCACAGGCTGAGGTGTCCAGGTGAATCCAAGAAGACATCCTCCATATTCAGATGTGCGAGAATAATATGGTTGTCGTGCAGATATTCCAGTACACAGAGGAGCTCCGCAGCATAAAATCTAGCTAGGCCAACATCGAACCGCCGCACCCGCTGGAGGTGATGAGAAAGCGGCCCTCCGCTAGCCAACGGTGAAAGGAGGCTCAGTCCCTTGGACGACTTGAAAGCGAATTTGAGCGGAGCGATGAACGGGTGTTCGACGCGATGAGTGAGCTTGGACTCGTGGGTAACGTCTACGACTATGGGAATGGTCTTCATGCCGTAGCTTCTGTCGGTGTCTAGCTTCTCTACATAGACCAGATCACTCGAACCCATCTCGCCGTAGACGCACCAAACCTCCGTGTCGCCCAACGGCGGTACCTTCTTCTCGAGATAGGAAATATCGATCGGCACTTTCCCCGTGCCACCCTGCACAGGTATGGGCTCGTAACCATGCCTATCGCGAGGCCGGTTTTCCGTGAACGGGTTCACCATGACAGACCCCAAGGAGACAGTCTGGAGTCCCGCTTCAGCATCAGAGCGCCTGGCAAACATGCGCACAGCCAGCTCGGAAGAGGTAGTCGAAACATCAAACTTGTACATGTACCTCCCATCCGACGCGCGGTACCCTGTTCTCGGGTTGGACCACCCGATTCGGCCATTGTAGCAATAATGCGATTCAGCGGATATCTGGAACTGTTCATATTCCATGATCGCATAAGCCAGCCATGGGTTATTCCCCGCTACTACTGGTTGGTAACGCGATCCTTCGCACGGCTCTGGTATCGCCAGGCGACCAGCGGGGTGGAGTCTGATGGATAGAATTCCAGTTGGTGGTTGTGACGGAACGATGACCTCGTAGGTAGTAGTAGTAACTAGGGGGAGGGGTCAACACAGGCTCCTTTTCATGGTTGTCCAAAGTCAGAACTTGACATGTAGTAATGTAATAAATGTACATGTACATACCATCCTCGTTTTGAGGAGGATACTTGGGCTGGGGATGTGAACACCAGCCGAAGGGGTGGTAAGGCTTGCTCTCGGCGGGCATCGTGAGAATTTTCTCGGCAGGCATCTATCTAGTTAATTATTAATTCAGAGCGGATCGTCAGCTGTGCTGTCTGAAAGAACTAAATACTAGTAAGAGTGCTGCTGCGTTTGCGTTTACTTTCCAGGTTGGCGAGATTCTCCCGTCAGACATTGGTTTCGGTGTTTAGATGCTTAGAAATTGGATTCCATATTCAATCATCTCCTTGTCTGTACAAGTAAGTAGTTGCTACAATAATAATAACTAACTTGAAGGGTTCGCAGCAAATGAGGAAATGAAGAGCACATGCTAGTAGTGTAGTAGGGAATCAATGATGGTCTATACAGAACTATTATTACCTTAGTTATAGTTAACTCCTCTGCTGTGTACGCAGCGTAGTTATGAATAGATCAATTGACAAGTAAATATTTTCTGCAGTTTAAAGTCACTGATTATGTGACACAGTGAAAGATATAGAGATATATACATATATACAGAAAAAACAGAAAAAACATGAGTGTGATGCTTCAGTCTCAATCTCTGAGTCTATGGTATTTAGTCCGTCAACTGATACAAAAGATGCATTATTTAACAGTTATTAATAATTAATATCGCTACAGAGTAAAAGAATATCACATCACGTCTTTAAATTTCTTTCTTATTTTTATTTTACTCTATATTATTATTCTGTTTGGCGGCTGTTGTATTTATCCCGCCGCGCGGTGGCGATACGATAAATATTTAACTATTTAACTAAAATATTTACATGCCGAAGTGGACACCTTTCTTTACCCTTAAATATTACATACAACCTTTGGGCCTAGTTAACTAAATATCAATCCTCAATCCTCGATTCATTCTTTTCTCCCCCCGATTCATTCTTTTCAAATTCCTTTCTTCATATACGAAAAGGCGGAATAAAGACCAAAAAAAGAAGCACTCTCCCCCTCTCTTTTGTTTGTGGCATACGGCTTCTTTTTCATTTTTCCTTTTTTTTTTTTATTTCTTTCTATTTTTTCCTTTATTTACCACGGGTATTTTATCCAAAACGCCTCCAAAAGGGAATCCCGGCGCAAAACGTCACAGTTAACTATAATAACTACTACCTAACTCCTACTGGTTCTTATATTCGGCCCAGCTCTCTCTTGCTTTTGGCCCTGCGCCCAACCTGCGCCCAAGCACAGGAACCCAAAAGGACACATATTATTGCATACTTATCCTGTACCGTGTACCGAAAGTCAAAGAGCATTGGAAAGAGGGAACGCGGGATATTTTAGGTGATTAGGTGATTGGGAGATTGGGAGACTTGGGTGTGGAGGGAATCCTCTTTTTTTCTTGAAGCAAAAGAGGAGAGCTACAAGAAACAAAATACAGAAAAATAAGATAAGACACCACGCTCATGGAGCGCTCCTATCTCTTCTCGACGGATGATGTCCTTGCCCACTTCAACGTCACCGCAGAGGCTGGGTTGTCGAGCCAGCAGGTCGTGACGGCTAGGAAGGCCTATGGGAGTAATGGTATGTCTGGTCGTCTCCTTTCTTTAATTTACTACTTCCTACAATCCATCTCCTCTTTTCTGCGCAAAGGCGCATACGGTGGTATATAAGATTGTGAGATAGTTATATATATTGTGAAGTGGAGTCAACATGTGTGCGTGAAAGCTAATTTTCGATCTTTGATGATAAAAACAGCTCTCCCCGAAGATCCGCCAACGCCCTTGTGGGAACTCGTGCTGGAGCAGTTTAAGGATCAACTTGTGCTGATTCTGCTTGGGTCTGCCGTTGTGTCGTTTGTGCTGGCCCTGTTTGAGGGTGGGGATGATTGGACAGCCTTTGTGGATCCGGTGGTGGTATGTCTTAATTTATTATTGTCTCTTCTACTTCTATTCGAATATTTTGTTGCGTTTTTTCGCGTACGGCTGGCTAACAGGTCAAAACCTTTTGCTTTGCTTTATACTACTAGATCCTCGCCATCCTAATCCTCAACGCCATCGTCGGCGTCTCGCAAGAAAGCAGTGCCGAAAAGGCCATCGCCGCTCTACAAGAATACTCGGCAAATGAAGCAAAAGTCATCCGCGACGGGCAGGTGCAGCGCATCAAGGCGGAGGAGCTGGTTCCCGGTGACATCGTGACTATCTCCGTTGGCGACCGCATCCCCGCTGATTGCCGTCTGCTCTCCATACACAGCAACAGCTTCCGTGTCGACCAGGCGATCCTGACCGGCGAGAGCGAGAGTGTTTCAAAGTGCACCATGGCTGTCAACGACGCGGCCGCCGTGAAGCAGGATCAGGTCAATATGCTCTTCTCCGGCACGACGGTGGTCACGGGCCATGCGACCGCGGTTGTGGCACTAACGGGCGCCGCGACGGCCATTGGCGATATCCACGAGAGCATCACGGCGCAGATCTCGGAGCCGACGCCGCTGAAGAAGAAGCTGAACGACTTTGGCGATTTGTTGGCGAAGGTCATCACGGTGATCTGTGTGCTTGTTTGGCTGATCAACATTGAGCATTTCAATGACCCGTCGCATGGCAGTTGGGCTAAGGGCGCGATCTATTATTTGAAAATCGCGGTTTCGTTGGGCGTTGCGGCTATTCCAGAAGGGTTGGCTGTGGTTATTACGACGTGCTTGGCGCTGGGGACGAGGAAGATGGCGGCCAAGAACGCTGTGGTTAGGTCGCTGCCATCTGTGGAGACCTTGGGCAGCTGCAGTGTGATCTGCTCGGACAAAACAGGCACGCTGACGACAAATCAAATGAGTGTGGAGAGGATTGTGTATCTCAACGAGGACGGGAATGGACTGGAGGAGATAAATGTTGAGGGAACCACATTCGCGCCGAAGGGCAGCTTAAGGAAGAATGGCAAGGAGATGGAGGATTTGGCCGTTTCTTCCTCCACCGTGCTGCAGATGGCGGAGGTTCTGGCGCTATGCAACGAGTCCTCGTTATCTTATGACCCAAAGACAGGCGCGTATTCCAGCATCGGGGAACCTACCGAAGGCGCCTTGCGCGTGCTCGTTGAGAAGATTGGAACGGACGACGCAGCGCTGAACAAGAAGATTAGGCAACTACCAGCTCCTGAAAGACTGCACGTGGCCAGCAAATACTACGAAGATCGCCTCCCCTTACAATGCACATATGAATTCTCCCGCGACCGCAAGAGCATGTCCGTGTTGGCCGGCGAGGGTAACCGACAGAAACTCCTCGTCAAGGGCGCCCCTGAATCGATCCTGGAACGCTGCTCACACGCCATCCTCGGCGCCAACGGCCAAAAGGTGGCATTGACAAAGAAACACACCCAGCTGATCTCCCAGGAAGTCGTGGACTATGGCAACCGCGGCCTCCGCGTCATCGCCATGGCCTCCATCGACAACGTCGCCCCAACCCGTCTCCTCCGCACGGCACAAACAACCAAAGAATACTCCCAGCTGGAGCAGAACATGACCCTGATCGGCCTCGTCGGCATGCTCGACCCGCCCCGCCCAGAAGTTGCTTCCTCAATCCGCAAGTGCCGCGAAGCCGGCATCCGCGTCGTCGTCATCACCGGCGACAACAGAAACACCGCTGAAGCCATCTGTCGCCAGATCGGCATCTTCGGCCCGCACGAGCAAAACCTCCACGGCAAATCGTACACAGGCAAAGAATTCGACGCTCTTAGCGATGCGGAACAGGTCGAAGCGGCCATGAACGCCTCGCTCTTCTCGCGCACAGAGCCCACGCATAAATCTAAATTGGTGGATCTCCTGCAGGCACAGGGTCACGTCGTGGCCATGACAGGCGACGGCGTCAACGACGCGCCTGCCCTGAAGAAATCTGATATCGGCATCGCGATGGGCACGGGCACGGACGTGGCCAAGCTCGCAGCCGACATGGTCCTGGCAGACGATAACTTCGCCACCATCGAGGTTGCGGTGGAGGAAGGGAGGTCCATCTACAGCAACACACAGCAGTTCATCCGCTACCTCATCTCGTCGAATATTGGAGAGGTCGTGTCAATTTTCCTGACGGCCGCACTGGGAATGCCGGAGGCGTTGATCCCCGTGCAACTGTTGTGGGTAAATTTGGTTACAGATGGATTGCCTGCGACGGCGTTGTCGTTTAACCCGCCCGATCATGATGTGATGAAAAGGCCGCCGCGGAAGCGCGGGGAGGCGCTTGTCGGGGGTTGGTTGTTTTTCAGGTACATGGTTGTGGGCTTTTATGTGGGCTTTGCAACAGTTTTTGGGTATGCGTGGTGGTTCATGTATAATCCTGCAGGGCCGCAGATTACGTTTTGGCAACTGGTAAGTTGTTCCTCTTACACACCCTCCCCCTATCCTCTATTTGTTTGTATATCCCATTTACTAACAACAAAAACGACAGACTCACTTCCACAAATGCTCCACCCAATTCCCCACCATCGGCTGCGAAATGTTCACAAACGACATGTCCAAATCAGCCTCGACAATCTCCCTCTCCATCCTCGTCGTCATCGAAATGCTCAACGCCATTAACTCCCTCTCCGCTTCCGAGTCCCTCCTCACTTTCCCCCTATGGAATAACATGATGCTCGTCTACGCCGTCACGCTCTCCATGTCGCTCCACTTCGCTATCCTCTACATTCCCTTCTTGCAAGGGTTGTTCTCTATCCTACCCCTGGATAGGCAGGAGTGGATGGCTGTGTTGGCTATCTCCTCGCCGGTGGTGGTTATTGATGAGGTGTTGAAGTTCTTGGATCGGAGTCTGTATGATAGGCGTACGGATGTTGTGGATGTTTCGTCGTCGGCCCAGTATCAGAATGGTGCGGCGAAGGGCAAGGCTGCTTAAGGGAGAAATGAAGGGCGTGATGATAGTGCTAATTGACCGTCTAGTGTATATTTTTTATTCCCCTTGTGTTTGTGGAGACGGAGGTGAAAAGCGGATAGAAAGAAAGAAAGAAAGAAACATTAAAAAAAAACCAAAGAGAGATAGATACACATGCACGTTCTGTTTTTTTATAAAGTTTTCCCCCATGTTCTCTATTTCTATTTCTATTTATTTTCTTTTTAAATCTATTTGGTCTGTTTCATTCGGGATAGGTTGGTGTGGCTATTTATTGTGTTTTTTATGATTTTCCTTTCGTTTTCTTGTTTGACATATGCTTTTCTTTTCTCATCGGCTTTATATTCTAACTAGCCTATCGCGGGCCACCACCATGTTAAATATAGAGTACATATAGATAGATAAAAGCAACACATCAGAGAGATGGCGGAAAGAGAAAAATGATAGTTGTTATGTACATACATTACATATCTTGTTTTTCAGTGCTTTGTTTTCTCTCATTAGTGCTACAATTTTTTGATTCTCTTCTCAGTTATATATCTAGGTTTTATCATCGCTCAGATTCATTCATGTCCTTCAGCTTTGTACAGCTTTCCCACAGGTGTAATGGAACCAAGTACGGGGATCAAATGATTAGACATGCTCTTCTTCTGCACGCCGCCATATCGTGTCAGTCAATGAAGCTTGTTTAGTTTGTTCTTGTGTCTGTATATTTTGTTTCATTCTTTTCTGTTTCCCAGTCTCTTCAACTGTCCTACTGATCATGGCTTGTGGAGATTAACCAATATAGAAAATCAAACATGTATGAAACGTAAAACATTACAAAACATGGAGGGATTAGGAGTTGGGTAAGAGTTTAAATGAGATAGCATTTTTCAGTTTTTTAAATCTAAATTTTCACCCTATTTACTTGTGGGAGGTTTCCCCGTTTGGCTCTGTAGAGGATAGCTGGTTATACACAATCCCCGCCACTGGCACAGTCCGATTCCCCACCGGTTCAAATATCCAGTAGTCAGTAAGAACAGCCCAATGGTCATGCCAACCCCCTCCCGGGCCAGTGATTGCCTCCGCAAAATCCAAAATCCAGAATATCCACCCAATCCGTCCATCTAGAAGCCTATATCATCAACCTCTCAACGTTCATCTTCAGCGTCTGAATCTGAGCATTCAGATCGCTGGCTTCGTTGGTGGTGATGCTAGCCGCGATGACGGCACGGCTGACACCGCATGCGCGGCCCAGGGCCATCTTGCTGGGCACGTACACGTAGGGCACGTTCTTATCCTCAGCGAGGAGCGGGAGGTGGAGGAGGATCGCCAGTGGGGTGGTATCTATATGCGGCAGGCAAACGGGATGGTTAGCTGGGATGGAGGCAATTGAAAAGATGGGAAGCGGTGGGACGGGGATGTTAGTTCTTTACCTGCAGCGAGAATCACAATCTCGGAGGTGCCGCGGTTCAGGGTCTTGGTGGCCTCGTTGGCCCCCTTCTTCAGCTGGCGGTAGTGCGAGGCTTGCTGGACAAGATCCAGAATTGTCTGGGTCATCGCTTGGTCGGCGAGCGGCCAGGCTGGAGGGATTTGCGAATAGATGTTAGCTGCTTATTCCGAGAAATTAATCGGGAAAGTCGCCTCCAGAATTTCTTACCTGCGTTGGTCTGGTCTGACATGATGACGGGTGGTGATGTCCTTCTGCGGAGAAAGGAAAAGATTATGGGTTGATGCGTAGATGAGTTATTTATTGGAAGGGTTCACGGCCAGTGGTTCTTGTGCGGTGGGGTGGCTCGCCCTATGTGTGTATGCGGAATTTCTCGAAGTGAGGTTGCGACAGCAAAAAGAAACTCGCTCGTTGGGATAAAAAAAAAAGTTTCCAAGCAGTTGGATTTCGTGTCGGGGTGACTATTTATCCGAGAACCAACGGATGGGTATTAGCGGAAACCTTAAAAGCTTATTTTGACCGTGCCAGGGTTTTGGAGTTTTGAGGCTGAGAAATTGTACCCAACCACAACACATCATGGCGATACCGTCTCAGCTTGATTATTAATGTACACATTACAGTACATGTTCCCTCTATATCCTCAGTCCTTCCGTGTTGCTCCTGGATTCTCCGTCATCGGGAAATGATTTATTTTCAAGAGAAAGCTCATTGGCATTTTATCCAGCCAGAGCTTCAGCAAACGTGCGCCAGCTCTGTGCACTTGCTCCATACACGAGGCTCGAAGTGTATGGGGCGTAGTTTTCGGTGCTTGATTGCACATACCCTCCTTGAATGAGCAATTCCTTTGGTCAGGAGAGAGGAGAGCCTTTTTCTAGATACCGCAACCCCCCAGGAAATTGTTCGCTGTTTTCCCATCACTGAGACATTTGTTTCAAAAGCAATTGAAGGTCGTCAGTGAACTTTCAGAACTGATGAAACGACCACTTGAAGACTAAATAGTCTTAGAGGAGAAGAGCAAGGATGCAAGCTGACTTATTAAGGTTGTTGAAATGATGACACAACCATATTTATGGCAGGTTTTTGTCATTTCCATTTTGCCTGCCCCTTATCTACGATAGTTAAGGTATGACTCTAGGAACTTTTTCCCTTGACTATGATCTATGGCTGCGGATGTTGAATATGGTATCCAGACGCTTCCCGCCAGATACCATGGCCCGGTAGCACAAGTGGCTACCGCCGGAATTCAATCAGTGGACACATGGTCACGAAATGAGTTGTTTTCCACTACCTCTACTCGTACTCAAGTCCTTCATTTATGGTTGGCGGTTTTAATCAATACACATTGCAGCCGATTTCAACCTAGATGGCCAAGGTAGATGTGAAGGCACGCTTGAAAATTTTCACATTGGGACATTTTAACTAAATCGGAATAGATCCGATCTGCCCTATTTTCTTCTTTCTTTCCTTACCAATGACCTTGCTCTCTCCGCGTGTATTCCAAAATGTTATCATTGTACGGATACGTAAACAGAACCAAAACGGCAAGCCAAACACTGATATTGTCGGAAGTTGCAACTGCCTGCTCTTACGAAAGGGATGTACGAGGTTGAAGCAGGAGAAACCCAATAACTATGAACTATTGATGGACTTTCTTATACCACCCTCACTCTGGTATACGAACACGTTGAGTACGTGCCGATCATTCTTTCCCGCTATTGCTCCTTCGTTACCATCCGTTTAGAATGTGGGGCCAGTTCCTGTGCCATAGCGTTCAACTGTGTCTTATGAATTGGTACTGTCAACGCTTCGAATTTGAAACCAGCAGCCTTGGCTTCAGCCTCTACTAAGCTGGTTCGTATTCCCTTGGGAAAGATTCCAAAGAATTTTGTGTTGTTTGGGCTTATTCGGACAGCAGTGTCTACTTCACCGATGTAGATTTTGGGTAACGGTTTTCCGGCATTCCGACTCAGCCGCTCAAGGTCCCTTTGCAGTTGACCGCTGTCTTTGGTTTTAAGAAGCTGTGTAATCATTTACCAATTAGAAGGTATTCAAATTTCGCACTATGAGAGCCGGCATTTATTTTACCTTTTTTTCAAAGTCAGCTACCGTTTTAGAGAAGGGTTGCTTCTTGCGCCGTGCGATCCCTCTTGCGTTCAGCCAAGACTCCTTGGCTTCCGCTTTCACTTCAAGCAGGTCATCTTGACTCATTTTCGAGACTCTTGTCGTTGTCACCGTCAACTCTCTGGCGCCATTTCTTCCCGCCTTCGCTTCGAAGATGGCAAGGATATTGAACACCTGCTTGTCCGTATAGCCGAGTACGCCGTCCGTGATTTGCCGCCCTGAGGCGTCCATAATAGAATATCCAGGGATGAACTCTAGAGTCTTTCCTTGGGGTACCTTTACTCCTAACGCAAATCCAACATGTCGCTCTCTCAGCATAGGAATGAGATGCGACTCGGCAAGTTCTTCCAGCAATTGTCCTTTGATATGGTTCATATTGGGCCCTTTTCTGAGGACCCTATCCAGGGCGATTTCGTCCAACTTGTCCAGGATAGGGTATTTCTTGGAGAGTGTTTCCCAAAGGACTTTGGTCTCTGGAGCGACAAACCTGGGAAGGGTGCCGGGCGAGCGTACAACGGCTTTCACACCCGCCGCAGCTTCCTGGGCAATTTTTCCTTCAACCCGACCGAGCTTCGCTAGAGCTTCTTCGCCAGCCTTGATTGATCTGATTGCCGCTGGTTGTTCGCTAGCTCGTGCAGACGCATTCAAGACTTTGCCCCACGAGGCGGCATTTTTTCCGTAGAGCTTGACGAGTCGTGCCTCTGTGTATAGCGCTCTACCCCCTTTAACCATTCTACCAGCGACAGGTAAAAGGATAGATGCGGCAAGGATGGCTTGCTCGACATGGCTCAGCTCGTAGCCGAATAGATCGCGGCCTGCCCACAATTCATACAATGCTATTGCGTTTCCCAAAAAAGGCACCAAAGACAATGTGAGCTCAATGGCTGCGACAGCCGCCGGGCGGTCGATGGTCCCCTGGCTTATGCTTTTGATTTTCGGCAAACGAGGAATTAGATTGAGAAGGACAATCATATCCGGCCGTTCGCTTAGAAAGTCGTGCATGGCAGCTGCAGACGACTGATCCAACAGGCTTTGTGTGACGACTTGTCGCTGGAACCAAGTCTGAAATTCGTCTCTGATTGCCGCCGTCAGCCTGGGGACTAGCGGATTTGCTTCCCAGATGTGCGTTACGCCTGTGTATTCGTTCTTATACCATACGAAGAATTCATTTTTGGAACGAGCCCAAGCATTTGCAAACACGTAGTGGTCTGCATCCTTCCTTTTATGGCTGCTCAATCGATCATAGCTCGTCGTTTCGTATGCCACCTTCTCTGCGGCTTTAGTCGTCGCGTGCTCGAACCACTTTGACATCTTGTTGATCTTGTGCTCCCATGAAATGGCCATTCCGCCATATGTCTCGACAATCTTCGCCCGTGCTGTTGTCCACTGCTCGTTCATGATGTCCACTCGTTCTCGGGCGATACCAATCTGCGACGTATTCGTGGAGGCATTGGTGAACAGTTTTATCAGCTCATTTTTGGCTTGCTGCAGTACCTTCTCAAGATCGGCTTCTGTGATCTTTTCCATGATGCTTTATCGTTATGTCACAAAAGATATGTGCTGATTGACAATGGTATTCCCAGCAGAGGTTTTTTTTTTTAATATCAATTTTCCGGGGATCAGTCATGAATAAGCTGACTTTTTTTCTTCTTTTCCTTTTTTTTCCTCTCTTCTTTACTTTTTCGTTTTCCCACTTGTGGTGGGCAGTGCACAGTTCTAAGTTTGTGGCGGCATCATGGGATATTGCGAACGGTCGAGTCTGGGTGAGTCCAATGCGGCTTAAAATTTGAGTTTTGATAGCTCCCATTCCTATCACATTATCAATCTATGCAACAATCTTCAGCTGGGTGCGCCGCTTCATTCATCACGAATGTCTCAGCCTCTGTAGTCGAGTGTTTTGGAGGCTTTCCCGCATGTACCAAGGATTCATCACCTCCATCGGGCTCGTTTTTTATGTTGGCGGCGCCGCCTCCACGGGAAAAAATGTGCTGTTGCCTACCCAGCCTTGTGAAATGGGCCACGAGGCTCGTGTGATACCTTCAGCTCTAGAAATTGGGGGAGGCCGTTCTGTCCAAAGCAATATATAAAGTGGGTGGATTGCCATTTCACCAGGCACTGTCGGTGGGTTAGGACTCATTTTCCTCCGCCAATTTCCATCGTTTCAAAGAACCACTCTAGCCTTCAGGAGAAAGCCTATGCAAAGAATGACTGAACCGCTGTTCAATTTCCTCTTGATTCGGCGTAGGTAATTGTCACTCCTCCTGGAGCAAATATCATCGCTGACCTTTCCACCACCCAGCTCATGTATCTCAGGATGCTCGCAAACCTAGCATCCCTTTATTTCAAGATTCGCCCTTTCAAAGGGAGCTTTTGGCTGCTCTTAAATCACAAAACCTTAGAACCGAAGCATTGAAAGTTGTCAAAAAATTTATCTCCAGCAAAGAATTCATTAGCGACCCTAGCGGATCAGATTTTCAAAAGAAGCTACGTGAATTTAAAGTGCTGATTGATGAGGCTAGCAGCGTCAATGATGATCTACAGTATACTGTAGTTCTTGAATTGACGAAACGCGCGTTTGGAATAGCAGCATCAGACCTAGTTAAGAGTGAGGAATTCGTTACTCTGCTCCGCAATCTTCGCGATTCTGTGGTAGCAATCAAATATGACCAGGTACTTTCTGTTCCCTGTCCAATATCTTTTGGCCACTCCCTAGCTTGAATATGATTTCTTTCACCGAATATCAAATTTAACGTTAATTTCCAAGGCGGAGCACTCAAAACCAGTTGAAGCTCTTGTCACCCAGATCCGCGACCTCGAGCTCATTGAAAAAGCAGTCCAGCTGGAAAAAGATACGCAACCAGCTGTTTCAAATGATAACGCAAGGGCGTTTAAAGAACTTGTCACTGGACACACTGAAGTGACTGCTCCTGTAACCGCTCCTGAATGGAGCGAAAACACGGCCTATAAGGTCGGCGATCAAGTTTCGTATAGTGTGCATGTGTATGTTTGCATCCAAGCGCATACCACCGTCCCCGGATGGGAACCTCCGAAGACGCCCGCTCTGTGGGTACGCGTGAGCAGACCCAATCCAGATGGAGATCCCACGCCGCCAACAGAAGACAGCCTCAATCTCTTTGGGTACCGAAAACGATCACTGTTGCTTCCGACTGAAGCTCAATTAAAATCGGTACTCTCAGAGCCCGACGACAGTAACGAGGATCCCACTGATGACACCGAAAAAGAGGCAGATCGCCTTCTCAGCCTCCACAATCAACTTTATCGGGCTGTGAAGGAGTTGACGGCAATGGATCCGCGGAATTTCCAGATCACTAAGCAGGAGCCACATGATGGGTTTATCCCTGATACTAAGTACTCGGCGGTCTCCTTGTTGAAGAGTAGACTCGACCTGCAAGCAACCCTAAGGGGCCTTAACGTTGACCAGTTCCGAGCCGCTGCTGCACGATCTGGCACCACTCCCGTAGATCCGCCCGACGCACCGAAAATTGCAGCAACAGTCACCGATCCGGTTTTGGCAGCGGATCCATTGCAGTTACAAGACGGAGCTGGTTCGACATCCGCCTTGGGTCTTACTCGCGAGCTGCTTACCGCCGGTGCCGGCTTGCAAGGGATAGGAAAATTTCTGCCTCTCTCTGCGAGGCAAAATGCCTTGAAACTTCAAAAAGAAGTGTCTTTATCTGAGAATACAGCAGCCCTCTTGAAAAAGGAAGGGATTGAGCCGGATACGGTACCATTACCTGGTATGTCCCCAACGGTCAAATATGATTTGAAGTATAGCTAATGTTTCAACCACAAGACATTGTCCGACTCTTCCGTCAGAAGATGCGCGAGGCTGAACGAAATCTGAAGATGCTAGCACCCTCCTTCGAGGATATACGGATTATTCGAGTTGGGAATACGTTGGTGAGCGCGAGGACACCACGGCCTAGCAGGTACAGCCAGTTCTTCACTGGAATCAACTTTGGGTTACATGTGCCTAAGCTTCCACTGCTGCCACCTCCAGATCCAAGGGTTCCGCACACCATTGGCAAGGTAAACAAGGTCGGCGTTGGGGATCTCCTTGTAGTGAAGCAGCGGTTAATTGGCTATGAAGGCGCTGATATTGCCCATATTGAGAATGTGTTGAAAGGCGAATCAAAGAGCCGTGAACATGTCCGGACAGACAGAACAGAGACCGTGACTAGTCTCGAGACCGAGACTATCCGTGAAGACACCCGAGAGCTGGCTTCAACGAGCCGGTTCGAGATGGGTCAGGAGACTCAAAAGCAAATCAAAGAGGCTTATGAACTGAAAGGGGGCGTCCAGGTGACAGCGAAGTACGGCCCTGCGGTGGAAGTCTCCGCAAAAGTTGAAGGTGGCCACAATCGATCCAAGGAGGAATCTACCAAAACAGCAACGAAGGTAAGCAGGTAACCCCGATTTTTGTAGTTGCTGTTTTGTGTTTTTTGGCTTGGATTTTAACATCTCTATAGTTTTCACAGGACGTTACAGAGAAAGCTATCAAGAAGATTACAGAACGAGTCCTCCAGAAGACGACTACAACAACAACAGTAAGTGTCCGTGAGCACACCACGGTAGGATACTTCTCTGACATTTTCTCGTAGTCTGAAGTCGTGGAGAAGAATTTGCATGGTATCAATAATTCTACCGGCAACGCGAATATATCTGGTGTTTACCAGTGGGTGAATAAGGTGTAAGTATCATCCAAACAATATTTTGTTTCCCATTTACGAGAGCGATTTGTCTTACTTTAAACTGTAGATATGAAGCCCAAGTTTTCAATTATGGGTTGCGCACTCTATTGTGAGTATCTCTCTCCCCGCCTGGTTTTCCATGGAGGCGCATATGCTCACTGAAATAATTAGTGATTTCATGGTTCCGGAGCCTGCTGCATGGGTAATCAACACTATGACCAAAGCTGCGGAAACCCGAACAATGCTGGAGCAACCGCAAAAGTTTGCCCTGGAGCCGTCCCAAATTTCAGAAGAAGGCGAGGAAAATTACGGCCATTGGGTGAAAACGTACGAAGCAACCGATGTGGAGCCCCCACCTGCAGACTACATTACAGCGACCGACCAAGTCAACAAAGGTGATGGTAAGCCTGGGCAAGACTACCAGCACAGTGGCCAGATTACAATCGATTCAGGTTACGAAGCCGTGCAAGTATCCATCGGCTGTACGATAAACTACTGGGAAGCGAATTGGGTGGTCGACGTCATCGTTGGAAATGCGGCACACCGATTTAAGGAGGGCTCCGGTTTTATTTGCACTCTTGCGCTTATTAAAGAAAGAGGGACCATTCCATGGGGAATAAAGACATGGAACACTTCTAGCACAGTTGTGACGGTAGATGTCAAGTGTGCAGTCACAGAGGATGCGACCAATAAGTGGAAAGCAGACACGCACAAAAAACTGGTGACTGCATATAGAGCAAGGCTTCAAGAGTACGAGGAGAAGTTGGCGACCCTGCAGCTGCAGGAAGGAATTATCATTGAGGGAAGGTTAGTTTCTCGCCACCCAACAGGTTGTGCTCATGCTTATTGTTCCATCCCAAAGAAACCCAGCCGCAAACCAAGCCACAATCAAACAGGAGTTGAAGAAGAATTGCATCTCCATTATCAGCGGACAACATTTCGACCGCTTCAACTCCATTGTGACCGGCCCGTGGGGGTATCCTCAAATCAACCTCTACGAGGCTGAAGCTGAAGGGGAATACGTCCGTTTCTTTGAGCAAGCGTTTGAATGGGAGCAGATAAGTGAGTGGAAACCATTGCATATCTCCCCCGAAAGCTTCCTGTAGCGTAGACTAACGCATGGGCCAGTGTACGTTATGTACCCATACTTCTGGGGCCGTAAATCGTATTGGGCCGAGCGGCTGGCGTTTGAGGATCCAGACCCTCAATTCGATGAGTTCCTGAAGGCAGGGTTTGCTCGAGTTCAAGTCCCAACGAGACCTGGATTCGAGGCCGCTATCGATCAGTATGCTTCCTACCCTAGTTTCTGTTATTCTGGATTGTGCTACCTCCAAGTGCTGATGAAAGACAACCCGATAGTTTTATGCAGTTCGGCGAGCTCTGGAACGGCGGCCCACTCCCGGCCATCTCCAGCAAACTTTTTCTTCCGATTGCTGATGAGATCGCCGAAAGAGCTCAGAAGCCAGGCCAAGAGATCCCGCAAGGCGAGCCTTGGAAGCTGCGCATTCCAACGCAACTTGTTAAGCTAAGGCAGGACGATAAATTGCCTAAATGGACAAAGAAGGATGGCGAATGGGTTCCAGAAGAGTGATATTTCATAATGGCAACGAAAACTGAAGGTGACGTCTGAATATGTAGTCGGCTTTTCGGTACCTTTTTCGGGTGAAATTTTTAATATCCTACTATATTTCGGGTTATCTTGACAGGAGAGCACTCCTGACCACGTTCAGAATAACGTAGTCATATTTTCAATATGAATATTCTAAAAACATAATATCCGCACCAGTATGTAGGTGCATGCCCATTGAATGTCAAGATTTCATAAACTTTACTTTCATACAGGAGTCGTGATACTATACTCAAGTGATATCAAATATGTCGACTGGATGAACCATCAGTGCACGATCCTCATGCCCTGTGCTTTAACTTAGATGTTGCCGCGCGCATATTTGACGCGCTTTTGCACCAAAAAGGAAAACAGAAAAAAATTGCAAGAAAAAAGGCTCATCAACTTCGGCGTGAACTCGCGGATTAACGAGAACCCAACCATAATGATGTAACTTATTAACGGTACTTGAGCATTAAAACAGGAGAGCGGTTAGACGAGATGGGCTCGATTCCATACATCAGTCAACATTAGACAAGCTCATCCGCTCATCCCTCCGTCACACTAGCTTAGACTGTCCTACCGCCGAAAAGGTGAAATCTGAGCTTGGTTTCCGGACTCATGAATCGAGCAACTCATCTAGGTGTCAGGACACTTCCATCGAGCCAAGCAATGTTCTAGCCCGATGCTCAAAAAGCCACGGCCCTGACGTATCTCAGATCCAGGTTATTCTTATATTATTCTGTGGAAGTACGGAGTACGGAGTAATCAATCACTCATTCCTTCTCTTGGATCAGCCACTAACTTTCAGAGAAGTTAATTAGTGGCTGTCACTGCCCAGTGCCCACCATGTCAGACTTCCAGTTGCTAATCTCAGCCCCATACTCATCATGGCCTCACCCAGGTCAGAGACTAACCAGGCTTCTTAGGCTTGGCAAGCCCTATTCTATTGGCCCCACGGTGCCAAGGGAATAGGGCCTGCACGCCTAATAGGCCCCAGACTCCCAGAGAGCCTCCAATAAAGGCTACATTAATTGAGTGATTTTCAAAATCATTTCCCGAGGCTGTTACTCGTGAGGGGTATGCAATTAAGCCACATGGAGCCGCCCCTAATATTAGGGCGTTTAACCCGCTAGCTCGATAGCTAGCTAGCAGCTGGGCCTGCATAGTTCTTAACTACCGTCTACTAGTGGCTTCCATCGGCAACCGCTCCCACTTCTAGGTAAGACCTTGGCATGCCAAGCCTATTCGTTAGGCTTGACCCCTCTAGTATCTACGAATACAGAGTACTAACACGGGTCTTCACGGGTAACAAGTGGATAATGCCAGTCTGATCCAGCAAGTACGCTGAGTAGATGGCGTCTCCTAATTCCTGAAGGAGCTAGGATTATTCCTGGGACGGCATATTTCCTATCGCACTGCCATACAGCAACCGTACGCAGCGTATATCGGGTAATATATCGACACAGCCTCGGAAGGATGATGACCTGATCCATACTTGACAACAAACGCGCCAGTTGCTCTCTACTGAGGCTGGATCGAAGCCTCCGATTCCATTGTTCGTTGGCCTGGTCGGAATAATATTCTAGCCTCGGGCTTTTCTTGGGCTTATTTAACTAATTTAGTGGAGTTTTCTTGGCCTAGTTGGCAGTCCACCAACTGCCGGGGATTCGATAACAATGATTTTAAAAGATAACAGCGACCCATTGGTTGAGAGAATCAGACTGTGTGAGTCCTTGAGGTAACATTATTCGGCCACGCTCATAATGGAGAGCTTTCTACGCTTTCAACGCTTTCAACGCTTTCAAGGCTTCGAACGAACTTGCAAATGTTTGTATCAGAGTTTTTCTCTATCATTTATTATGATTTGGAGGGGAATCCACGAACGCCTGTGGCGTGATAGCACCTGGAAATTAATATGAGTACGAGGACCAGGTTGGGAAACAGCTGAAACCTGACATTACCGCTTGTCAGTAGCACTCCAAATGTCACGGTGCCAGTCAGCCGCCACTTCAGCGCCCCTGTCGCCGGGACCTCGCCCAAACCGTCTGCCTCAAACCGACCCCTCCTGTGCGAGGCTTTTCGTTGGTCCAGAGCTGCTAATAGAGTTAACATCGTGCAGGTGCCTGTGCCTGGCGGGAGCCTTTCGCCCGCTAAATTCCCACTAAATGTCGAGGTTGAACCACAGAATACATGCACGGAGTACTACATACGGCGTATAAAACCTGGCATTGGCAACTGCAGCCATATGGCTAACCAGAGCATCGAGCCCAGACAGTCAGGGGGATACCCACCCAGCGGCAGACCCCAGATTTTCAATGTGGGACGGGCACGTGGTGGCCATCATTCATTCCTTTATTATCTCTCGAAAACCCCCCATGTTCCTTCATCCGCAGTTTCTGCACAGCATAATACATATCCAGCCCGCGAGGCAGCATGAGAAAATTTTCTTCAACCATCACTAATCGTGAGTTAGAGATGGGCAGAACGCCCCTTGTTGATCTAGGATCGCCTGCCACACCGTGGTACATTGCTCTCTTCACCAATGCCTGGTTTCAGGTGCTGCTGATAAGCTTCATCTGCTTTTGCTGTCCTGGTGTACGTGGTTTTCTATAGTGTGAGCTTCGTTGTTCTAACATTACCACGAAAGAAGATATACTGACCTATATTCGAGTCTAGATGTACAATGCCCTATCTGGCTTAGGGGGTTCGGGCCAGGTAGACCCAACAGTTGCAGCCAATGCGAATGTAGCCTTGCTCGCGGCGAATGCTGCCACTGCCCTGTTTGTTGTCGGGCCTATATTCTCGATCATCGGCCCACGCTCCTGTTGGTTGGTTGGCGGATGGACGTACGCTCTTTACAGCGGGAGTTTGTTGGCCTTTAACTGTGAGTCAAATTCTGATAGAGGCCGAGTGCTGTTCGAATTTACACAAAATGATCTTTCGATCTATATAGAAAGCCGCTATCTAACATATTTTCCAAGATATTGAAAATGGCCCCTTTGTCATCGTCGCGGGTGGCGTTCTCGGTGTAGGGGCCAGCTTCCTCTGGGTTGCCCAGGGTGCCATAATGACAACCTACGTCCCCGAATCCCAGAAGGGCCGTGCAATTGCCTTATTCTGGATTATATTTAATATGGGTGGTACAATCGGCTCCCTAGCCAGTTTCGGGCTCAACTACAACAATCCAGAAGGCACGGTATCCAACAGCACATATATCGCCACGATGGCTGTCATGGCATTTGGCTGGGCGATTGGCGTCTTTATATGCCCCCCTTCACGAGTTGAACTCTCCCAACTTCGCGAAGCCGAATATATGATTCGAGATCGCTCACTGCCGGCTTTGGGAAAACTCATCTTCAGCACCATCTTCCGCGTCAAAATCCTATGCAGTCTTCCCCTATTTTTCTGCGCGAATGTCTTCTACTCATATCAGCAGAACGATGTGAATGGCAAAACGTTTAACATTCGTTCTCGCTCTCTGAATTCTGCTCTGTACTGGATGGCACAGATGTGTGGCGGTCTGCTGATGGGTTTCCTGATGGATCTGAGATTCATGAACCGACGACAGCGCGCCTGGCTCGGTTGGGTCGTCCTTATGCTAAGCGGCTTGGGCACCTGGGGTGGCGGTTATGTATTCCAGAGATGGCAGGACGAGCGCACAGCAGTCGGTCTGGTGCAAGACATCGACTTCACTAGTTCCGACATTTCCATTGGTCCGATGTTTCTTTATATCTTCTATGGCCTATACGATGCACTCTGGCAAGGATATTGCTACTGGCTTATTGGCAGTATGTCCAACTCTGCGGCTGTCACGGCTATTTTGGTCGGAGCATATAAGTCTTTTCAAGCCACTGGTGGCGCAATGGCATGGAGGGTGAATGCATTGAAAACTCCCTCTATGACGCAGCTGGCTATGAACTGGGGGTTATGCGTTGGGGCACTGATTATTGCCATTCCAACCGTGTCCTCGGTAACCTTGACGAATATTGTGCGACCGGAGACATCGCAGGAGGATAAGAGGAGTATGAAACTTGAGGAGTGGGAGGGTGACATGAAGGGCCGCTCATAGGGGATTTCAGGATTTATCATCATATAAACTTGAGTTGTCAATTGTGTATGTTTTTCTTTTCCTTTCCTTGTTGGGTCTATGGTCAAGTTGTGGTATGTACGAGACCTTCCCTTTTCACTGCCCACGTCCGCCCTTTCCTTCCACCTTTTTTTTTTTTTTTTTTTCGCTATAAACAATCCGTTTCTTCTCTTTTCTTTCTTCTCTTATTTTTGCTCTCTTCTTCTTTCTTCTTTATTTCTTTTATTTCTTTTCTTTTATTCTATATAGCTGTGTCCGGGCGCTCGATATCGTTTAGTGAACGCTGGATTTTCCCCCAGAGAATGCATAGTCGCTATTACCAAACCGGCCTTTTCTTAATATCTCACTGTTGCTTTTATGACTTAGTTACCAGCTAGAGGCAAGGTAAACCAACCTTGAGCAAGCACCAGGTGAGTTCAGTTGTACTTGTACATTCTACCCAATCGCACCCGTGATGCTCAATTATATTGAATGCTCCTGACGCAGTTCCAGACAGTCAAAAAAAGTAATTAAATCACCGGTGTATTTTCCCCAGATGGGGTGGAAGGATCTACCTGCGGAGCTCGTCCATCTAATCCTCTCGAAGGACAGCATCGGACACCATGATTTAGCAAACCTTGCACGTGTAAACAGTTACCTCGCCGGAATTGTGCCTCAATATCTATACTATGATGTTCAATTCATATCTGCCCAACCATCACTGGAATCAGAATGCAAAGGCCTCGCGCGGCTGGCAAAATTTAATCGCTCAATCACGAGAAACCCAAGTCTAGCCGGACTGACGCGGAGCATTGCGATAGTGACGTACGTAGAGGGCCATCATATAGTTGATTGTATTTGGGAGGTTCTTGCTAAGCTTTACGTCCTCGAAAAGTTGGTCCTATCAATAGAGACCGAAGACAAACTACATGTGGTTCTTCGAAGCAATCCGCTCAGTAGACTCCGTTGCGTTAAAATATACGGCCACCTTCTCAACCTTGGAGTAGCAGCCGGCTATATGCAGCTTCCAGCCATCGAGTCTCTAGCCGTGGAATATCACAGTTTCTCAAGGACAGGGCGCCAACGTTCTGTTGTTGTCAGACTTCCGCCTAACATGGAGCGCCAGACGTCTCTCAAGGAGTTAACAATCCGTGTTCCGTCCGAAACCATTTCTCTGCTCCCTAGACTTATCTCATCCTGCCCAACATTGACAGCTTTCGCCTTCAGTATAAAGAACCCCATCAACGTCCGCTCGGAACGAATACTATTATCAAATGCGCTTAGTTTCTGCCAAGAAACAGTTACTATACTCGAATTAAATTGCGAGTATCTTGAATTTTGGGAATATTTCGATTGTTGTCCTGTTGTTTTACGCGATATGAAACGCTTGCGAGTTTTGAAGATAGACACTCTCTTTCTTCTCAGTGATGATGACACATACAGTCCGGTATTGCGAAGTGACATTCATCAGCGGCTGCCTTCTTCATTAGAAGATTTGGAGGTACAGTTATATTCTTTTGGTTTATCTCCCCCCTAATTTTTCTTTTCGCTTTTCGCTGCCCCTTTTTTCCTGTCGCCGTAGGGCGGATTCACCAAACCTTCATGTCATTCCCCTCAATTTCCTGAAACTAACATCGATATCTGTGCTTCATCGTACGTATATAGATTCTTTTTCAAAAAAAATTTGGTGCGTTTGAAGCTGATTCTCTGTTCTCCGCCAATGATGCACCGCCCGACTCCTCTCCTACTTACATACCGGAGTATCTCACCTGGCTGCTACAAATTGGAATGAACAAAGAAATTCGCCTGCCTAATCTGGTGCACGTTTGTATACGAGAGAGTCATGTCGGCTATCCCGGCCCATATAAAATGTTGAATTTGCCAGTTGAGATTGAAGTTCCATTTCGCAAGGCTGGTATAGATATTGAGTTATTTCTCCTCCCTTCTGAGTCCCGGCCCTTCTAAATAATACGCCCGCCTTTGCTTTAATTGACTAGATACAGATGGTTAGCTATAAGACAGAACAGTGGTTGGTAAAATTCTCACTAGTTGAAGAATATATAAACTTTTCTCATCCTGGAAGCCTGGCCACCCGCCTTGCGATGCATGGATTTAGATGTAAAATGGGGCTACTAGTTGGTTTCCTTTTGTTTCCTTTAGAAAAAATTTTGAAGGTAACTACTTAAAACAAATAATAATAATAATACTCATAATAATAATAATAATAATAAATAAATCAAAGAGGCACCTGTCCTGATGCTCGTTTAGAATTACTCCAATGTCTGGATATTCCCTTGAAGTTCCCTTTTTACCTGTTCTATTCAAGCTCTGTTAGCTTTTAGCTAGAAATACATATGTGCTTCTGCAGATGGGGAGTTTGTTCAGCAGAAAAGCACCTATGCTACGCCAACCAGTCGTCAAGCTTGGAGCAGAAACGAAGACGGGTCCATCCTCACTTAAAACTTAAACGTAAGAAATGCATTCCCATGTTCCTCCCTCCTACGAACTTAGCAAGAGTTTGCCACTAATAAATCAAAACTATGAATCACACGGCGTCAGACTGGGTAGTGAAGTTACGGGCTCGGAGTTTTCAGAAATAGATACACTTTCTACGGGGAGGAGGAGCACGGAGACATTCCCACGAATCAAAACTATTAAATGGAGAGAGAGGCTGCAACGGCTTCGCTTGCATGAAGCCGCCGCCGGGTTATGTTTTAACTAATAAAATTAAGGTTTAATTGGTTTCATCAATGGATAAGGGCGTTATATTTGTGCGGGGTATAGACGTTGCTGGAAAGAACAGAAGACTAAAAGCTACCTTGACCGATGGAATACATCTGTTATTTTATGTTCTCGATGCTACAAGATGTACCTAAATTGCGGATTCTGCCGGGACATATCAGTTAGCAGAGCTGTAATATACAATGACAGGATATGGAAATGGAGTGGAGCGCCAACCTTTCTGTCAGTCAGATCATCATCATAAGCGTGCTCAAATGCTTCCATCGTCCCCGTCTTATCTCGTTTGCGATTTTCATAGATTGCAACGTATCTGTAAAGAATTGCGAGTAATATTGCGGCGATGGCTGTCACCAGCACTGTAATGAATCCTGGGGCGTACACGGGCGCGTCCTTCGGTTCGAATACTATAGGACCAACGAAGTTTCCTGTGTTGATAATAGAATGTTCAGTAAACATATTTGGGTATACTGACCAGTTTTGCTTATACCATTCTGGAAGTAAGGGATTTAACCACTATTGGAAGAGGCATGAGCAAACTCACCCAAACAGTAGCCCATGAACACCCCTGCTGAGGTTACCGATCTTTTGGTATAGCCCGCTGTATTTGCAACTTGAAGGCCCATGAGGATAGCATATGCACCACCAAAGGATGCAAGGAAGTACGTTCCAAATAACAGGCCTCCCTTATGCTCTCGAGGGAGTTTCCAAAGAAGAAGACTCGCCATGATAGTGCCCAACTCGCATATCACTACCAACCAGGTACGGATATTGACATATTTATACGCAACGAGACAGACTACCAACTCGATGGTGCCTCCGATGAATCCAGCAGGTAGAGTTAATAGGAGGGAGTCCAAGGGGCTGAAGCCGAACGACTTGATGAAAATAGGAATGAATGATGAGACTGGACCGTTGGCTATCATCAGCAGGAATGAGGCTGCGAAGATAATCCAGAACTTCAGATCCGAGAGGGCATCCCAAACTTGTTCGATCTTGAAATGCGTATTGCGAACGCCGCTGTTGTTAACCCGCATGCGCGCAACGGCAATGTAGCGCTCGCGGTCGGTAAAACCCTTGGCCCGTATGGGATCTGGTGGCATGAAGAAGTAGATCACGACAGCCCAGAGGATGGTAATCACGCCGGCAACTATATACATATACTGCCACGGGCTCAGGGAGCCAGTGATATGACCCAGGCCGTAGTTGATCAGGGGGCTGATGGCGCTAACATAACCGGTGCAGGAATACCACATTCCCATACGCAATGCTTGTTCTGCTTTCAGATACCATCCGCCCACCACCAACATGAACATCGGCGATACTCCAGATTCAAGAAAACCAAGGAAGAATCGCTGGGCGAACAGTGCCTGCCAATTGTGACAGGCTATGGTGCAGATAAGGCAAATGCCCCAGATGAACACAATGCCCGAGGCTACACGCTCAATGGGCCACCGCTGAGCCATGTATATGGCAGGGTAGGCCCCCGCGATAAAGCCTAGATAGAAGATGGAAGCGGAGAATGAGTAGCGGTTTCCGACGTTGAGGTCGAGGTCTGTTCGAAGGCCGAAAATAGCCTGTTGGCATGTTAGGATTTAGCTTGGTGGCTAACTGACGGTCTGTAGAGTTGTTGGAAGGTAAGGCTGGGCACACTCACGGCTTGGGATAGCATGGTCTTATCATATTGCTGCAACCCATATGTGATGCAGAGGATTGTCATAAGTTTCCGATCAATTTTCCGCACCAGCTGTTTTTCCTCGACAGGATCCCATGTTGAGTCTCCATCATATGCAGCGATAACCTTGAGGGCTTCGTCGGTGCTGATTGTGTCGATGACATCCGTAGCCTTGAGGTTATCTCGCTTTTCCGCTGAGATGGTTTCTTCATGGTCTGTTTTGTATAGTTTATCCATGCTGAGCTCCCAAGAGACAAGGTATATGCTGCCTTCGATGGCTGGTGGGTCAAGTTTTTCCTATCCAGGGCAGAAGGGAGAAGATGAATAAAATCAACCCGGAAATCATGAGATTGAACGAAATTCTTCAGGCCTTTCCGCCTCCTTTTTATACCCCAATTTTCCCCTCTTCGATTCCCATTTCCCACCGATTGCTCGTCCAGGCCGACGTGATTGAGAGCAACCCGATTCGCCAGATTGAAATAGAGAGGGCTTCACTGCCCTGAATACCCATTGGTTCGGCATACCAAGGTGCATCCTGAATGAGAGACCAATGCAAAGAGCTGGAGCATGGCGTGTGGTAGTTTGATGTGTATCAACATCGTCATTGCTTTGTGGGAGAAGCCCCTCAATCATCGGCGTTGATAGCGGTTCATTTCTCCCGCCCCCCCACTCGGACACTATCCCGGGCCCGCGGGCACTAGTTTTTGGGGATGGAATGGCCCTTTTTTTTGAATTTTCCGGCCCGCGATAAGATCGAGGAAATTCTCCGTTTGTCTCCAGCCGGGAGCCTACAACCGAACCGAGAGACGGACTGGTGGAAAGGTTAGTTACGGATTAGCGACATGTATCCCTAAGGATTAAACCTATCATTGCTTCCCGAGGAACGATGGGCAGCTTTGCCTATATGTACAGTACAGTACTTGCATCTCCCATCTCAATCATATCATCACCATGCAGACTTTAGCGCTCTGGGCATTGTGAGCGATAGTTAGAGGATAAGATTTCCCCTCCTCACCCAACGAAGGTTCACTGGAGAGAGTTTTAGTTTTGTCTCTTCTGACCAACTCAGCTCACGGCTTCAGACGCCTTTTCCGTGAAGCTGGGCGTAAATATTCCCCCAAGTTCCATCCCTCACAGGTTGTCAGTGGCGCTCTTCCTGTCGCAAAATGACTGTGGACGACGAGGATTACCTTGGAATTCTTCACGGATAATGAAATGGTGCTACCAGCTGAGCAAGTAGAAGCACAACTGCCCTAGTCGGCCCATGATTGGGACGGTCCCGGGCTTCTGCTAAACTGAAGGGCGGTTGGAACTCATCGCCAGTTTGATGCGCTGAGACGCCACAAACACATGGCCACTAGGGTTTGCAGAAGCGGGCGTTTTAAGTATGCATCTGCCCTTGATCAGGATATTCCTCTTTCTCACCCTACGATGATCCTGCAATCATCACCATCTAGCGGCCCAGGACGAAGCATCGGATATTCGACAAACCGCATTGGCTTTCGTCGTCCAACTATATAGTCGCAGCTTAGAATGGAGGGATTTTATATGGGTTTCTAATTGAATTGAATTTTATGTTACGGAATACGCAGGCAAAAGAAATAGTTAGCAAAAACACTGAGCAACTATATCTTTATCAGCAGCAACTTTCTAGATCTGGTTTGGATGGCGTTATTTTACCAATTTATCCTGTTTTAGCAAGCGTATTAGCTATATTGTAATTACATACACAGCTAACTACGCCGACTAAGATTTTGTTTCTCACCTCCCCAGCCGTGATCGATTGCTCGTACGCTTTTATTCTTCATTCTTCTATTGTACTGCCAACAAGGAAAATTCGTGATTCTCAACCTCTCGCAAACAACCACGAGAGTTGGGTCCTTGCAAAAATGATAAACCTGTCAACCGCTTGGTGATAGCAGCCGGGCTCTAGCAGAATGTTCATGCCTGCCGGTGGCTTTTCTGACGATGTAAGAATATGAGACATACTGGCTAATGGGCAGATTTATACTGCATGCTTATTGTCTAGTTCTCTCACATAAAGTAGTCAGAGGGATGCTGCTCACTTGAGCCATGCCAGCAGTTTTCATTCCTCGCCCCCAAGACTGATTGGCTCGACTTATTTAATGCAGCTGGGAGTCAGGCCATGACATTGGCCGCCCAGCAGAGCCTTGTCAGATACAAACCACAGGCGGGGTAATTAGATGCAATGAGGCTGGCAAGTCTATGAAACTCCCACGTCCATCACCTGAAGTTTGATCGGAGTGCTCGAGTATCCTAACCAAGCTTCATCCTGTTTTTATTAATGTCTCGACTTCGGATTATCATAGTCATTGATACGACCCAATGTCATCCTCGGTGAGCAGATTGAAACATCAGGACTATACGATCGCATGGATATGTGCGCTCCCTCTGGAAAGTGCCGCCGCCGAGGCGATGCTGGATGAGAGACATCCTCCCCTGCCAACTAGTCCAAATGATGAGAACACATATGTGCTCGGGAGGATATGCGCTCATAATGTTATAATCCTATGTCTTCCATCAGGTGTCTATGGCACGACGGCAGCCACGAACTTAGCCTCCCAAATGAAGTTTACTTTTACGGCAATACGCTTTGGGTTAATGGTTGGCATAGGAGGTGGGGTTCCAAGCAAGGAAATTGATATTCGACTGGGTGATATAGTGGTTAGCAAGCCTACAAGAGAATTCGGGGGTGTCATACAGTACGATTATGGCAAAACAGTGCAACATGGGCAGTTTGAGCGTTCAGGCATGTTGAATAAACCTCCGCCGGTTATTCTGACTGCCATATCCAGACTGCAGGCTGCCCATAGATTAGAGTCTAGCAAGATTCCAGCGTTCATATCTGAAGCTGTGTCAAGGAATCCCCACTTTGCCCCGATTTCGACGTATCCTGGAGAAATTTTCGATATTTTGTTTGAATCCGAATATGATCATATTGAGTCGGGGATCACCTGTGACGACTGTGAGTTGAATCGAGTAGTGAAACGGATTACCCGAGATGATCATGACCCTGTTATTCACTATGGCCTTATCGCCTCTGGGAACCAGGTAATAAAGCACGGCCAGACCAGGGACAGGTTAGCTCGGGAACTCGGCATTCTTTGCTTTGAGATGGAGGCGGCTGGCTTAATGGACGTAATTCCCTGCTTAGTGATTCGAGGCATCTGTGATTACGCAGATTCCCATAAAAACAAACGATGGCAGGATTATGCGGCAGCAATTGCTGCCGCATACGCCAAAGAACTTCTCTCTGTCATTCACGAAAACCGGGTTGCAGATGAGCCAAAAGCAGGTTCATCGAGTCAGCGTATGCCAGCTTCCTGTGTATGCATTCCGCTATTTATGGCTTTTGCTGACATATAAATAATTGGTCCTAGTCTATCATTGTCAAGATCTCTCCGTTAGTGAGCAAATGCGATCTGGCGGCCTAACAGTTCGAGATAAGGGTGAGTGCATCTGCGATACTGCTATTCGTAAGAAGTTACCCGCTGACCTCCCGTGTGTAGGTGACGGCCACATCGACGATTGGCTAATTGAAAGAATTTCAAAGTACGACCATAACAGAGTCCATCGAAGGCTTTTGCATAAACGACTTCTGGGAACCACGGAGTGGTTCCTCGCCCATCCTGATTTCAAAGAATGGCTTACTGGAAACACCATTCCCACTTTATGGTGTTCTGGCAAGAGTACGACTCATTTCTATGCGTTCACTTTTAAAGACGATGCTGATGTCCAGCGAGTTACTAGTTGGCTCAGGCAAAACAATTATAGCGTTAGTACTCTAAAGCGTAGTTACCCCATCTTTGTTGTTTGTGTCCTGACGGTGAAGGATAAACAGAACGTCCGTGGTGGAGGAATTGATATATCGTTCCTCTAAGCTGCGTGCTCCCAGTATCTTTTTCTACTGCGAGACCGAGCATCCCAGATCACTCCAGCCATCATATATTCTCTCCAGTTTCATCAAACAACTATGCAGGTTCCTCCACGACGCGTACGTACCTTTCCCGAGAGATCTAATTCGAGAGATTCACATGTTCTTTGGACGCGAGCCACACACACCAGATTTTCAAGATCTAGAAGACCTTTTCGGCGACCTTTATCGTTACGCCCCAAACACGGCGTATGTCATTGATGGAATTGATGCTCTCGATCAAGGAAATTGCAGCAATCTTCTAAAATTCATTCTGCGCCATTTCTCTTGCTCAAGTGATCGCCAAGGATCAAAATGCATACTGCTAAGCAGGGAGCAAGTTCCAGGGTTCATGGACATCAGTACTTTCATCCCAGGAATCCGACATATTTCAACGTCTTCCCATGTCATGCGAGATATTCAGATGTACATCGAAACGACTATCGCCGACAAAACCTTGTCCAGAAAGCTCACCACAAATTCTTCATTGTTACATGAGATTAAAGAAACTCTATTACAAGAGTCCTCGGGGATGTAAGATGCCTCGACGCACCTTTCAGTTTTCATGATCCGATCCCCCATATGATCATACGCTAACAAACAATAGGTTTTTGTGGGTCTATCTCCAGCTTGAGATCTTGTGGGATACTTGCTTCACCGACGCACAAATACGATTATCATTAGGACAGCTTCCAAAAGATCTAGAAGAAACCTATCGTCGCTGCGCTCAAAGGATAGTTATGCTGGACAACATCGCGGTCAAGGTATTGAAGTGGGTCAGTTTCGCTACGAGGCCACTTCATATTGAAGAGCTGAGAGAAGCTGTTGCATTTACTCCACTAGATACTGAGTGGGATGCGGAGAAAATACCACAGCAAGAAATCGTTGCTGGGTGTTGTGCAAACCTCGTAGTTGTGGACCCTATTGACGGCTGTGTACGTTTTGCTCATAGTTCTGTAAAACAATACCTTGAGAGTAACCACGGAAGCCACATTGAGGGGTATCCTGTCAACGCAGACCAAGGAGATCTAGAATGTGGAGAGTATTGTCTTGTCTATCTTTCCTTCTCCGACTTCAGCCTCCAAGTGACAAGGGCAGAAGAGGTGACGGTCGCCTTTCCAAACCCAGCGGCTCTCATTAAGGGAGTTTTCCGTTCATCATTGATGGCACCTTTCCGCCGAATTCCGAGGGGCCAAGAGGGCTTCGTTCCTGTACGAGTCCCAAATACACGCGCAAAAAGGACATCTGATCGAACCAGCTATAAGTTCCTTAATTATGCCGCTAGTGGCTGGGCACTCCATATGAAAAATATCGATACTGCATCGCCCTCCTGGGAACGGTTTGAACATGTCGCAACAAATTTCAGTGACTCTTGGAATTTCCATCCTTGGGTGAGTGGTGGCCGTTCGGCACAGTCGCGTCTACATGCTCTCTTTGGCTGGGCAGTCAAGGAACATCACGAGCCACTTTTGTCCATTGCTCTGAGGTCGAAGAAGGATTTACTGGCTATCTGTGATCTACCCCTGGTCGATGAAGGGTTTCCCGCACTTCATCTTGCATCGAAACTTGGGCATTACGCAATTGTTCAACATTTGTTGCGCTTCTGCAAAGTAAATGTGCTAGATGTGGAAGGATATGCTCCATTGCACTACGCTGTGGCCAAACGCCGTTTGGACGTCGTGCAGTTGATTTTACGCGCTAATGGCTGCAAAGTGGGCATTAAATCCCGGACTGGGGACACACCACTTTTCCTAGCTGCTATCAACGGAGACGAGGATATCGCACTGGCTCTTCTCATGGATGGTACAAGGACCAAGAACGGAAACGCTTTTAAATATTACGTCTCACTCTTTTCTCCATTAGCAGCGGCTTGTAAATATGGGCACCCAACGATCGTCCAAATGTTACTAGAACATGGAGCTCTTCTAGGACAAGACTATAGCTTCGGGAGGACACCTTTATCTCTTGCTACCACAGCGGGACATACAGATATAGTCGAGCTCTTACTTAAATGGGGGTCACCCCCTGACGGCAACAACCGGGACGGTTCCACACCGCTCACAGAAGCTGCACGTATTGGAGACGAGAAGCTGGTCCAGATGCTGCTTGAAAGGACTAAAAATCTGGACTGTGAAGATCACGATGGCCGTACGCCTTTTTTCTGGGCGTCAAAAGAAGGCCATGTGGAGGTGATGAAATTACTGCTTGCAAAAGGTGCTGATTACGGGCGTGCAGATCAGTTTGGTGATACGCCTTTATTCCATGCTGTAAGGAGGAATGATGTGGAGATGGTTCGCGTTCTGCTCGAGATGGGTGCAGACCTTAAGACGAGAGCTCATGGCACCAACCTATTGGACTTTGCGCGCCAAGTGGGAGAAACAGAAATAATAGAACTGCTGCTCAAGCATGGTGCCACTGACAGTACTGAGGCCCAACTCGGCGAGGAAACCTGACAACGTCGTTGAGTCGGAAGTACATTATTGGGAACCGGAGGGGAAAAAACGGCTGGGACTGCGGAGGAGCCTAAGGAGAGCCAAAGAGAGGTAAGGTGCCTGGGGTGGTGGCGTAATGGTGGCCAGCCCGTTCGCAGGCGGCAAAGGAGTTAAAATAGCAGGCACACGCCGAGCAGATATATATCTATTTCATGAAGCCACAGATACTCCGCATTCTCCACGGAAACAAGAAGAGAGAAAATATGGTCGAAAGATCCGTTTGTGTTCGCATGTGCTCCACACACAGCGCAAATTGCCAAAAGGGCAGTGTGATGTAATGTATATAGTGAGCTCCCTCTGCACATAGCGCATAGCGTTCCAAAGCATGATTAAAAAGAATAATGAAGCTGACGATCAATGCTTAGATATGTCTCTATTTTCTCTCTATTTATTATAGAAAAACCAACTTTTCCATGCAAAAAACACTGTAACATGACATCACATGCACCTCATCAAAAATATTTGAATGCTCTGACTCATACAGCTCAGATCAATCTTCAAATCTTCATTCTTTTTTTTCATTCTGCTCTTTTCATACATTCTCTACAGTATTTACATTCCTGCTGTTGCTTGGGAGAAAAACAATGCTGTGATCCGAAGGATCCAGCTGGCGGATTATTGGCTATTTGTGCTATTTGTGCGTTTGCTGCATTTGTCGGTTTCTGCCGCATTCCCCCTATTTGCTTCTGCTGTTGATGTTGCTGCTCTGGGCCTGATTGTTCATGTGAAGCCCTCTTGTTTTTTGATCGTGATTGGTGGTGCGACAAAGATGATCCATGTCTTAGGCTACTAAAGGAAGAAAACGTGGTTGATTTCGGAAGCGGGAGCCCCGCGTTATACTCTTCTCTATGTTCATTTTTGATCTCTGTGTTCATGGCATGCACTGCTAAATGCCCTGTAACATGATCTCATGTGATGTCATGTGCACCCCTTTGAATTCATGGATGGGATTGAACAGCCGGCTCTGTGGCCTGTACAGCTCTGATTAATGGTGATAGGGGTGATACGGGGTGGAAGAGGGTGGTAGGGGGAGAGGGTGGTAGGGGCGGTAGAGGTGGTGGTGGTGGTGGTGGTAGAGGGGGTAGGGGGTGGAAGGGGTGGAAGGGGTGGTAAGGGGGGGGTAGAGGCCCGAGGGTGGAAGTGGTAGAGGGGGCTGCGCATTGATGCTTGTATTAGAGAATGCAAAAAGCTACATTTGGCAAACAAGTATATAAAAATAACTAAATTATAAGTAAGAAAGAAGAAAGGGGCATGAATGGAATTCACATCTCAAAAGAAACAAGACTAATAATTAAATAATTTTTACTAACTAGTTACTACCTCCCTATGTCACTGAAACCCTCACCCATTCCCCATTTACCCATACTTGCACTACATGCACGCATGCAAGTTCTAGCGGGAAACGGACGTAATTTGAGGGGGGAAAAAAAAGAAAAGAAAAGAAAAGGGGCAAAACAAAGGGAGTGAAAAAAAGGGAGTGAAAAAAAGGGAGGGGTTTGCCCGAGATGATAATAGATGGATGGGGGCCCATGCACGGCGTTTAGCACACAGTAAGCAAAGCCAGCCCGTGGTTTGTCGGGTTGTTATGGACGGGGGAAGGTAGGGGGGTATCACTGCTTGAATCGATTGAGGTATGGGGGCCGGGTTTTTGAGCGTGTTGTATTAAAGGGATATGATACATGTATGATATGATGGCATGGAAATGGAATACAATTGGGGGGAACAAATGATTATAAAAGCAAGATCGGATCGGATCGGGTCGGATTGATTTTAGTACGGTGGGAGTATTAGTTGTTATGATATGGCCATGGTACGATATATATATAGATATCGCTGATTCCGATATTTTCTTTTGGCGTTTATTTTTTCACCATAGATTCAACATCTTTAGGATATCGTGGCGGTGGAAATAGGAGCGGTTGATTTTGCCGAAGATGTCTGTATTTTGTTATTTTTTTTTTCATTATTTCTGTTAGCCATACCATACCATACACTACATGACCATGGTTTTCGTAAGGTGGAAAATGGGGATGGGGAGGGAACACATACACATGGGTATACTGAGTAGACACACGCCGACCTGAATACTGGCGATGATAATGAAGACCCGTTTCGGGTTGGAGAGCACGATCCAGTCATAGGCGAAGTATGTCAGAAGGAAGCTGAACATATTTTTGAAGACGAGGAGGCACGTGAAGGCTTCGACGGCGATTTGGCCTGGTGTGTATCTGTTAGCATCCGCGATGGGGAGGCGGGTAAGAAATAGGGGGAAAAAAAAATACATACGATGCGCATCAACAACGTACAACGCACTCGCCACCGCCCCCATAACCATGCCGACAATGACAAACGCAAAAAAAACATCGGGCACCACATATCCAAAGCGCGCCACGTCCGCCGTCGTATACCCAAACCCATACAGTCCCAGGGCGCTAAACACCAGCTGGAACAGCACTAGCACGATGCGGAACTCGGGCTCATATACACCGCGGTTCAGCTTTGTGAGCAGCTTGGCGGAGTAATCGGCTAGCAAGCCTGAGAGGACGAGACCGGCGATAGAGCCGATAAAGGCGCCGGTGTAGAGGTAGCCGATTTTGTCCTCAGTGAACCAGAGCGGCGGGAAGCTGAAGAGTGCGGCGAGGACGACACCGATGAAGACAGTCCAGCCGATTAACACGCCCTGGGTCAGGCAGGCCTGGTTGTTTTTGTTTGTTAATATTGGAGTGGGTAGGATAGGGGAAGGGGGAGGCGTCATACCCATAAAATACCCGGATGTAGGAATAACGGTAGCGGGCGGAGCAATAGCTTCCAGTAACTCTCATCTGTCTTGCGCCCATTGAAAGGTTTCAACGATTGCCAATACGTCACTTTACGCGGGATGACATCGCGTGCCGCTTCCTCGGTAATGACAGGGTCATGGCCATTGTCATCCTCATCTCTAGATTCGTGTTTCTCCGCCTTCATTTCTTCCTCACGGGACTTTTGCGAGGATGACCTGTTGTTGTTCTCCGTATCCAATTCAATGGGTTGAGTGGTGTTAGTAGGAGCAGCGGTGGTATTATTAGGGACAACTCCTTGGCTAGATTCCCCTTCGAAATCCGTGTTGAGATGAGCCGCCCTCCTGAAAGCGGTTTCGGGAGCGCAGAAAATGACCAATGGCAGACACGCGCCAGAGAAGATGGCGAGGAAATTAAAGGTCCATTCCCAGCCCATGGAGACGGTGAGCTTTCCGACGATGACGGGGGTGAAGAAACTGCCGCCGAAGAGGGCGACGTTAGACAATGCCATCCGTTTCCCACGTTCCTAGAGGTTTTATAATTATTAGAATTTGCCCGGGGGATCCCAAAAATTAGTTGGGTAGGGATAAACAAAAACATACATGAACAAAAAACAAATCCCCCACACTTGCATTGACCAAGGCCTCGTACGGCGCCAGTCCCACTCCCTGGAAAACTCTCGCAACCAGCAAACTCTTATAGCTGCCGGCACTCGCGCCGCCCCAGGCGGAGCTGAAGATCATCACGATGCAGCCGAGGATATAGAGATGGCGCTTACCCCAGACCCTGGCGGAGGGGACGAAGAGGAGGCCAGCGACCCCAACGCCGCAGAGGTGGTAGCCGGTGAGCAGGGCGGCTTTCGTGAAGGTGGTTTCATAGTGGTGGGCGAGGGTAGCGGTGTTTGCGGCGAGTAGGGGGCTTGTTGTTGCGCAGAGGAGGCCGACGAAGGAGAGGACTGCGAGGATTGCGTCGCGTTTCCAGAGGGGCCAGTTCTTGGGGGGGTTATGTATGTCAGTATAGATTTAATTTGTAATAGGCGCTTTCATAAGTAGTTGTATATAGGAATTGGAGGATCTACCAGGGGATCATTGGGGTCATCGCTGGGCTGGGGAACGAGGATGATGGGTGTAGGGCCGGAGGTGTCATATTTGAGGTGTGGGGAGGGGGCGAGCTGTTCGACGGTGCTGGAATCGTCCTCGAGGATGAAGGTGGTGCCTGCTCAGTATTAGATGAAGGTGAAGATGAAGATGAAGATATAGATATAGATATAGATATAGATATACACACCAGGAACGTGGTCGAGGCGGGAGTCCTGCAGAATCCCAAGGCCCATGGTTGCGATACGGATGAAGTATCAAGGACCGAATTGGCAGAGAGGAAAACTTCCAACCTAGCCCTCCGGCGGGCTGGTTTATTTCGTCTCTATTGAACTATCGCAACTATCGCGATGCGGGGTAGAAGAAGCATTACCTGGTGGTTAGTCGGAGTTAGTCGTAGTCGAAGTCGTTCGAGGTGTCTGTCTCTCGGTGGATGGGATGGGGAGAGAAATAATCAACACAGCCAAAATAAAAATAAAAAAAAGCACTCCACAACACTAGCAGACTGGCAGGCGGCGCAAGCAAAGTGGAGTAGCCATATGGATGGATTCACATTGGCAAACCACAAAAGGGGCAAGATATTCATTTCATGGCATTCACCATTGTTGATATTCACTTCACCGTGCAGTGTGCAGCGTGCAGCGTGCAATATGTGAATATGTGATTGTTCAAAACAGATCGCGTGCCGAATAACAGTGCCGAGTAACGGGGGGGGATACACTAAAGCACCCCCGAAGACACAGGGCTTGTTTAGGGCCTCCATGCCTAAGTCCTAGGCTATGAATTTAGATAATCATAACTAAGTTCCCTCTAACTAGTTAGCTAACTAGCTAGTTAGTTAGTTAACCATAACCTTATTAATAACAAGCAAACCACGATCGCGATTTTGAGTCCGGCTGCAAACCATGGATCCGCGCCTGTCAACCCAACATCATGCCTTGGTTACTCTGCAGTAAAAGTAAATAAATGGACTAAATAACTAGTTAATAAATAATAAGGAAATAGTCACAATTCCCCACGAGCGCATATAGCTTAGTTCAACATGTAGTTAATTATTATTTATCCTTTTGCAGCCAGCCATCCAGCCAGCCAAGAATGCGTCTTATTTCCAACGCTATTAACTTTAACAATCCCCCAGCTGTCTTCTCCTCCTCCTCCCCCTATTTTCGACGTACTATGCGTAGCTCTCCCATCCGCCTCAAAACTACAAACTTCTTCTTCTCTTCTTCCTTCTTCTCTTCTTAATTCTATCACCAATCAATCAATCAATCAAGCAATCTCTCACAATGCGTCTCGCCATCACCGCCGCCGTCGCCTCTTCCCTCCTCGCGCTCGTCGCGGCCCAGGCTGGTGACCTCCCGAAATGTGCTGTATGTCTCCTCCACCCGACTAACCTAGATGACAACCAAATATATATATATATATCAATCGTGACATTGCTAACAACATATAATAAATAAAAACAGCAAGAGTGTGCTGGGCCCGCCATCCCCGCCGACTGCGGCATCGACCCCGAGTGCATCTGCAAGGCCAAATCCTTCATCGACGCCATCACCTGCTGTGTCGCCACCAAGTGCGACAAGGATGAGCAGGAGAGTACGTATATATATATTTCTATATATATTTGCATATATACATATATATTTGCATATTTGCATATTTACATATATACATATATATTTGCATATTTACATATATACATATATATTTGCATATTTACATATTTACATATATACATATATATCTATATGGTATAAAAGAAATACTAACACCCACCCCAGAGGCAATAAGCATCGCTAAAATAACCTGCGCCGCCGTCGGCGTCACTGACCTCCCCGACGCCGCCGTCTGCGATAGCGCCTCTTCCTCCGCCTCCGCCACCCCCTCCTCCCCTTCCTCCAAACCAACTGGCTCAACCGCCGGTCCCACCGCGTCGTCTGAGCCTACCAAGTCTGGAGCGGAGACCACCCCGACCGGCTCTCCTACTGGGTCTGGCACTGGTGCGCCACCCCCTGCGGGAACGGAGACGCCTGCTGCAGGTAACCGCGTCGGTGTGGCGACGGGAATGGGGGTGGGGGTTGGGCTGGTTATGGGGGTTTTGGGGGTGATGTAAATGGAGGTTGGTTGTGGATTTGAGTTGAGGATTTGAGTTGAGAGAGTGAGAGGAAGACCTCAAGAGTATGGGTTGAGTAGCTGCTAGTGGTGTTTTTATGACATGTTCAATATACGGATCAGTCCCCGTTTTGCGATGTGATATGGGTGTTGGATGTTGATGGAGATTGCAATTTGTCTCCAGTTGTCTACCTGTATAATGGATGGAGATGGAAATTGAGATTGAGATGGCAATGGCGATGGCGATGGCGATGGCTGTTATATCGATTTACCATACCTAATTAATTATGTAATGACAATCACTCTGTTTCTATATAAAACTCATCTTTCTTTTCCTTCTGGCCGCATACATCTATACCTACTATAAATTCACATCTATATACAGCTTATCAACCTACGTGACACACAAACGTGGCATTATATCAACCTAATTGAAACACCCAGGCTTTCCCCATTCCCCACATATCGTATCCCATGATGCAATGCTGTACATATCTCCTACATATGATACAGATCAGATCATATCAAGATCGGACCAGTCCATGAAAAAGGTCCCACGGCAGATCATCTTCGCATAACGCTGTACGCAGTATGCGAGGTGGAGATGATCAATTACCCGCACTCCAACTCAGCACCTCACTACGACAGGTAGTAGGGATTGGGAAATATCGCCACTAGTTACTGGTTGTGTGTACGTAACTGTCCCTCGACGCGGGGAAAGAGGACTGGGAGATGTTAGATGTCTTCCCCGCAGCTTGGACAATGTGTATTTATGTGTGTATGTGTGTATCTGTATCTAGGTTGTTGCCGAACCGAACCGGTCCTGCCGGTGGGTCTGTACAGGTCACTGCTGTGTCGCCACACGATATTATAGGTTTGACTCAATCCGGGAACTAAGGAACACTAGCCTAGCTTGGTTAGATCTCTGAGATCTCAACCGATCCAGATTATTAATATCTTATTAATCACTAGCAGGAAAATGAGCCCTATTATTGCTATGCGTACGGAGTAGTTATTTAATATTCTTCCTTTTGTTATTATCATTCACAGACTGATGCAACTTCACCCTGCTTTCCCCCAGCTTTCCGTGTCCCTGTTATATGCAGGGTAATTAGTTCTTTGCCAAGATTACTCCGCAGGTTCCGCCCCCTTTGGGATCATACACTGGGGAGGCTCTAGACCTGAGACAGTCTCTATGCTCAGAGAGCTCTATACAGAAGGATCTCTATGTGAGGGATCTCTATATCTGGGAAATCTCTACGTATATATGGAAAGGCTTTGAATCTTGATACACCTGTTGAGAGATCTGTGAGACGAAGCTCATCGTCTTAACGCCAAGACTGACTAAACTATATATAATAATATACTAACTCTATTAAGACTAATATGTTTCGTGCGTGTTCATAACATGAGTATTATGTGGAATTAAGCTTTTATACTGAAAAAACAACATTTCTGATTTGTTGATATAACTAGTTAGATTCACTATCTCATGTTTTCTACTCTTGTATTCTCACTATTAACTTTTTTATTTATTATCATCAAATTTCTCTGTCATTTCACTCAAATTTATATCTGATGTCAGTATAAAAGATAAAGCTTCAAGATCAAGGTCTGATTATAGTGTATGTAGTAATATTTCTCTCTATCTGAAAAGTTGATGTTGATAGGAGTTCCATTTTATATCTTAATTAGAGTTAGGGTAAATAGATTACACACATCAAAACATGCCAATACAGTCAATCTCTTGTAATCTGGTAGTTTTTGTGTCTTTAATACACTAATGTACACGCTAAAAACAACGCCAATTGTGCCTCGCGGCAAGGGATGCGCTGGTAGGGTAGGCTGCCGTAGTTAGAAGTCAACATAAAAAAGCAATCCATCCCATCCCATGCAGAGGACGATTTGCTGTTCTTGACTCGCTGCCTGTGTCTTATGTAGGTGGGTGGGTGGTTACCTAAGTAGTTACCTACATTAGTACGGAGTAGCAGGTAGCGACACCCCGACTGACTACTCTAGGTACTGTATGACTATCTCCATCATATCGGGGTGATGGAATGAATAGACCGAAGAATGAAGACTCAGCCTTACCGTGAGAGTGTGAGGCTCTGCCACAGTCGTTATATATCAAGAACTAAAATTGGTGGATTGAATTGAGTATTACATAGAACGCTTGTTATTATCTGATAAAGAGCAACAAGCTTTAGTTTTTCACCTGATCATTGATGGGGCGGCAGAGTACTTCAGTTCAATTTTCTCTTTCAGAAATCAGTGTGCTGAACATGCTGAACATAAACAAATGGAGAATAAAAACTAAAAGCTTGGAGGAAAAGCAGTATGAGTACAGATATCAATAATGACTGTTTTTCTTTTTTCTTTTTCTTTTTTTCTTTTTCTTTTTTTCTTTTTTTTTTTCTTTTTTTTTTAGACAAGATGTCAGGTCACGTGATCTGGCTTACTAATCCTTCCACCATATAACTTTCCACAAGCTAGCAACCTTTCAATCACACAAGCTTTACATCTTTCACAGGTTATGAGACCTGTTTTGTGCAAAATCACTGTCAATTCAGAATTCCTTGTTAATATACTCATTAGTTGAACTACTGCTTCATTTGATACACTCATCAGAAGTTAAAATCATCTTATTCTATCAGTATTGATGTGTTTGAGATCTTGATAATCAATAATACTACTGCTCACTTAAAAAAAAGAGGCTTGTAGAAAATGCATTACATTTGCAAAAAAGCAAGAAAAAGAGAACAATATTAGCAAGGATTCAATAAATGAATATTGAGAATTCAATAAATGAATACAAAGATGATGGATTCAACACAATTCCGCTCACATACATATTCACAATCTCATGTTCTTTTCACTGAATCAGTTACAGTTGATAATAATGATTCTTCACACTTATACTCTGTCAGTGAACATTCTTCTGAAGTCTTTGAAAGCTTTATTGATAAATGCTCTGCAACACTCTCTTGATTCAAAGCTGGTTTGAATACAGCTTCTGACACGGTCAGGTCAGCTCTCTGATCTACTTAACAGCTTAATACTGATTCTCTTGATGAGAATAATAAACACTCAGATGTCTACTGTTCAGGCGAGATAATATCAAATCAACAGATGAAGCATCTTAAGATGATACTTGAGATAAATAAGAAGAAGCAAAGAGTTCTAGAACTTGAACTACAACTGAAAAAACTCTGTTAACAGAGATTCTCATTCTCTACAGATTAATTACAGAATGTTAACAATCATTCTGTTATTACATTAACAGTCTGTACAATCACATGAAATTCTAATCTCAGTGAAAGATTGAAATTCAATCTTTATAAACTGAATAGCTGTGTTGACAAGACAATCTCTCAATTCAAGAAAGATGTTAAAAATACTGTGAGATTAAACAGTTTAACTGATACATTCAATTACATCACATGAAGCATCTTCATGAAATTGAAACTGGTTAATACACAGTGTTAATATATGATAGAGAAATGACAGACTCAGAACTCTCTATAAAGAGATGATGAATAAGTATCATTCTGAGATGTCAGAAATCAGTGACTCTACACATTCATCTTAAACTTCTTGAGTGCAGGTGTCAGATCACATTTCTTCAAGTATAATGAAAATTAAATTGCTTATACTTTATGAAATGCAATTGAACAGAAATACTCTGTTCTTAAAACACAGTTATATTATAAGACAGTTCTGAAATTCATGTCTTTTGACAGTATACAGGTCATCAATCTATATACATTCTTTGATAAGTTCTGATCTGTCATTATGAAATTGAAGATGTTGAATGCTTTCTCTTCAGATGTGTGAATATTTAATACCTTCTACTCAGTTCTATCTGACAATTGAAGAAATTATGTTCAGAAGAAGATAGAGAAGATACAGGATTTCAAATTCATAGCTGTGATATTGAATATTAATCTTCTCATGAAGGAAATCTGTTCATGACTTGATTCTTCAAAAGATAAAAAGAACCTGCAGAATATAGATTCTGCAGCTAATACAGCTATGACAGCTATAACAGTCATAATGACTATCAACAACAATACATTGAATTCAGCCTGTGAAGACTGTAATAATCATGATAGTTTATAAGAGAGCTTTTAAAATTATTAAGAATTGAGAAATTCACCTACATGTTCTGAATGCGAGAGATCTCACTTTAACAACTGTTAATTGATCAATTCAGACAGTGCTTCAGATAATTGAAGAATCTACAACACTGTAAGAATAAAGAAATTCAAAGAAAAGAAGAAAAAGAATAATAGTGAGAGTGAGACTTAACTATTTATTACAGATAAATCAGAGACCTATCAGATAGCAAATCTCACAGAGGTTATTAATATATCAGTCTGTTATAAGAATTTCTTCAACAGATGTTTATACATATTAAAGAATATTATCTTTCAGAAGAATCTTCATCTTACTGATTCATTAATACTGACTACTTCATATAATCTGAAGATTCTACTCAATGCAGTCTGTAAAGTAGCTGCAGTGATTTCTTTAAAGATATCAGATCTACTCACTATGATCTGTTAAGAAACTGCAGTAATTTCTGATTTATCAATTGATAATCTATTCATTGATGAGAAAATTCAACCTGAGTATTCATTATTTCTTATACTCACTAATAATTGATGAATTGACTATGATATCTTCACGAGAATATCTACTCTTTTAGTGCAGAATACACTGAACTTTCTGAAACTCACAGTTAAATCTGATAACTCTTCAACATCTACAAGAGATATCACTATAGTGAGGAAATTAACAGTGAGGAAATCTTCAGTGAAGAACAGTCTTAAAGATCTACTTACTGATTCTGAGATCACTGCACTTCTGATTCTGAAAAACCTCACACGCATCAAAGCTTTCATGAAATGAAAGTATTATTACAAGACCTATATTAAAGAGGTCAACTGTTTGAAATATATGCATTGAAAAGAGAATATAAAGAAGATAGAGAGACAGAGAGATAAAAAATAATGTATATTATAACTGGTTTTTCATTGCTACACATTTTCCAGTCATTTTTTGTACCTGTACTTGATTTGAAGGCGAATTTTGTATATAGCATCGTGTATAGTTACTCTGATGAGTGAGAGTGTCAGGTCACGTGATCTGGCTTACTAATCCTTTCACTATATAACTTGTAGAATAGTTAAAGATTGTATTGATAGATCTATCTACAAAAACATAATATAGTGATAAGTCATGTGATCTAGTGAGATTGCTAACTGCAACAGCTGTAAGAGTCAACACTCTCTCTCAAGATAATAAGAATCACATACAAAAACACTTAAATCATCAAGATAGTCTGTCAAAATCAAATACAAATGTAAAATT